CTGAAAAGAGTTAATCAAAGTAATTGAAATGATTATGAAAAGTTGAAACATTACATCGTTATATTCTAATAAGTAACAGGCCATATAGTTGTTATCCAGTAACGATGCTATTCTAAAACACAGCAGTTTCAATTCAATAGCATACACGATGAGAAACTGCTGACACACGAATCATAATCGCAAATAGAGACTGCCTCAAAAACTGTGTACGGATAAAATTTCGCTCCTAATGCATTGAAAACACGAGCGCGCTGCTTCCACGTTGCATTTATATTATGATTTGTTTACAAAGCTGGCGGGAAGCTCGGGGCACTTGCGAAGCTCTGAGGTTCTTAAATAAACTAAAAACATTTCTGCCGGCAACGACGGATGAAAGGGGTACACGAAGGATAAACAATTTTTTCACAATTTCGAGTGGAACTCTTTTCACTTAGGAAGATGAAAAAAAAAAAGGATGAACTTATTTAGAATGTGATTATTTCGTTGGGCAGTTACCTAAATAAATTTAAGTGTTATTTAACCACACTGGTCACGCCTGGGATATCTGTTTAGTGCTACGTAGGTATGTCATTTGTATGATGGACGTTATAGGTTAAATAAAAACATCACATTTAGTCTCGTATAAATCCACCGATGATTAAGTCAAGATTAAGTCAAGAAGTAAGATTTAATTAAGTCAATTATACTGTTAATAGTTAATTCAGATTACTTAAATTATATCATTAATAGTTTACTATATATTTAAAAGGCTTAATTGTTTATCATATATGCTCATCATGATAAAAAAATCGAATTTAAAAAATTCCTGGTAAATTGTTTGCGGTGCTAGTTTTCTGGGGTTTAACTACTTTTTTTACTTTCGTAAAAAATTGCGACGGTGCTTTGATTGTTAAACACACAATTAGCTAAAGTCATAATAGGCCTATAAATATAACGGTATTAGCTCCTTCATTAAATATTAAAATATTAATCCTTCTACGCAGAACCGTTCATTAAAGCTTGCTAACAAGAGGCGATTATTTGTGTTGCAGACACAAATATTCATACACTCCAAGTAACACTCGACATTTCCAGCTCATGGAAACATAGCCTTTCCAAGAGCTCTGTGCCCGGTGAAGCTTTACCTATGTATATTATCTAAGGACTAAAAGCAGAAACATTGATAATAATGTAAAAGTTAATATCGATATTTATTGTGTCATATAATGTAAATAAAATATTTGATTTGCCCTTGTTATATTATAATCTTAATTAATAAGCAATTTAATTAACAGAGCTAAGCACCATTGCAAACATTTCAAAGGGATAGAAGAATTATTGAGATAATCTCGTAACCGTAATTAATCAATTTACACTATTAACACCCGGTTTCTAAAACACTGATCATCGTAGAAGTCAACTAATCAGCTGTCAAATGGCTCTCCAAATGTTATTTGAGTTGCCAAAAGGATTGTTAAACTCGTCGAATTGATCATTTTGATAAAGAAAAAAATCATTCTGATCAATTAAGAAAGTTTACTCATCCTTTTGGCAACTTAAATAAAATTTGAAAAGCCATTTGACAGCTGATTAGTTAACTTCTACCATGATCTATGTTTCAGAAACCGGGTGTAACTGTTCCTGTAATTAAGTAAATGGCGACGAAATAATCATAAAGCGAGGACACGAAGGCGTGCTAATTTAAAAACGGGCACGACAGCCGTACACTGAGGTAACTAAATATGAGTAAATCTTGATAGATCTGTGGGTAAAGAGAATAATGGAATTGCGACACAATTATTCAATGATGAGAAACTTGCAACACAGCCGAGCGGCGACTGTGGCTGGGTGTTAAAGAGTCGAAATGCAGCATTTGTCTTTAAGACCGAACGGGGTGGGCAGAGAAAGCCTTTTGTGCTTATTTTTTGTGCTAATGTAGTAAAAGGTAACGAAATATTTTTTTATTTAAATAAGAAAGAAACAAATTATGCATTGCAATTCTTAACTATTTTACTGATTTTATCCCCTTTAACCGTCGTATATGCTGTAAGCGTGTGAAACGTTAGGAGTTAAAAAATTATGACACGATAAAATCCCTTAATTTTATGTAATAATACCTAGTATTCACTCCAATAATTAATTATGCTTCTAATACCCGTTTCCAGCCTTTTGGTTCTGAAACCTGAAGACTCATTCACAGCAAAAGTACCCATAGGTCATGTATAACGTCTGGTGTATGATGTCTAAACTATAATAATGTACACACTAAAATCTCAAGTGAAAACTTTACTAATTGTATGAATTCTACATTACATCGCAGAAAATGAGCTATTCCAAACACGGCCTTTTCCTTTGCGGTGGTAGGGCCACGCAGCAGCCTCGGCTGTTGCACGAATGGGCAGCCCCGTCCGGGTAAGTACCACGACCTCACAGAAGACCAATTTTCAAAAGGTTGTCAACGCATCTGTAACCCTCGGGTGTAGCAGATGTCCATGGGCAGCGGTATTCACTTACAATCAGGTGAACCGTCTGCTCGTTTGGCAAATTTTCACATAAAAAAAAACGTTGGCCGCAATATCAATAAAGAACCTAAATTTGCTAAAATATTGCCGTTCTCTGAATGATTGATATCATGTTGCATGTGAACGTAATAAAAGCCGCAGATTGTCTTTGACACGAAAATGTATTTCAGCAAAGGCATTACTTTTCAACTACGCAACGAAACTGTCAACATTGCCTTTGCCATGGATACACCAGAGATATAACGCACATCGTAACCTTTCAAGCGTAGCAAATCACAAACATTCGGCAACCAAATGCAAATAGCTTTTCGTGGTCAACGTTCTCAGACGATGGCAACCTACACGTGAAATGCCAGGACGCCGGTCGCCGTTGAATGGCAGACAGCAAATTAATCAATGCGCTAAATGGACGTTATTTTTAAAACGGGTTGCAGCGCTCTAGAAAAACTAGTTAACATTGTACTATTATAAAGAATTAATCAAACTTTTAAACGAAATAAGTAACATGAAAAATGTTGACATGAATACGAAAAATTTTTTTCAAGCCTTGCCTTTAACGATAAACCAACAAATTATATGAAGACGAAAGGATAAAGTCTCTTAGCTATCGGTAGACCTACATGTATTACATTCGGGACTAAATAAGCTGAAGAAAAAAAAAATAAGCTTTACCTCTCTTCGTATTATGAATTGCAATGAGCAAACGTTTCATCCGATAGTACATAATAACCCCCCATCGTCCAACCCATGGACATCGACGCAAGCGAGGATGCAAATGCGTTGCTAATCAAGGGGTCTATCCTTTACGAGTTGGTACGCGGGAAAGTGTATGAAACACCCAGCCGGCTTTAAAATGGGCTTTAAGCAACACCAGTTGGGGTTTTAAATAAGCTTTAAACAACACCAGTGCGCTCACGAAGTTGCCGCTTGCACTATGCGGCCGTCTTTAGCATATAGCGATAATTGCGCTCGCACAGTAGCCCCCGGCCACGCCAGTTCGTTGGTCGCGCGGGCGAAAACAGGAATCGCGGTCTACGCCCCACCAGCCCGTTGATCGTGAACGCGAATCAATTACGAGCCACGGCACCCCACGCCGTCGCGCGCCGTAAATAGTCGCCGAGCTAAAGAAACGTACAATCAACACCGCCGATTACACACGCAATCATCATGTCACGGTGAATACTATAATTATTTTATTAGAGAGGTCTATCGCCTCTATCTCGTCCAAGCTTCATTCATCTACGGCTGGTCGTGTTTTGCTCCAAGCGACAACTGCAAGGCAATGATTATATGCTTTCCCAATGAGATTAGGAAATCCGAAGCTTTCATCTCAATAAGCTTCTTGTGTATCCACACTCATATTTACGCATATACATACACTATGTACAATTATTTAATATACTTAGCCGTGATAGCTCATTGTACGGGTGCTCGCTTTACTTCCATACACTCGAGCATCCTGTGTTCGATCCCCAGTGCCGGCACCAGTGAAATTATTGATTTTAAGTGCTGAATTATCACGTGCTCAGCTGTGAAGAAAAAAATTGTGAGGAATGGAAACACCAATGAAATAAGATAACAGAGCCAATATTCATCCACATTTTTGCACCATTAGTGTTAGTAAAGATGATGGTAAGTTATCCTATAGCGAGGTGAATGTTTCCGATACGGTGAACTTACGAACTAAAAATAATAGACGCTCTCGAGCCTCGAGCTAAAAAAGCCCAGCGGTCAAACGGACGCTTTGTAATGCGAGTCAGCGCTATTGCTTCCGCTGGAGCCATTGTGTCATCGGTCACGAAGTAGCAGCACGAAGACGGACGCACTGTTCGTCGACGCGTCGTGATGGGAAGTAGCGTCGGTTGGAAGCGCCGCAATTTACACGCGAATTAAGACAAGTTCCAATGCAAACGACCGTCCAATTTAATCAGTTTCTCAAGGAAACTAACTTCAGTGGCCCATGGCGCAAAGATTAACGGCAAGCTAATGATGACACGATAACGAGAACGCTCCACGAGGACAGCTATCGAAATCATGTGTTCAACAGTGAAAGGGCCACGCTACAGTCCGCTGTTACACGAATGGGCAGATCCGTCCGGGGAAGTGGAAGTGTTATACTTCTGCGTTTCATCTGATGAGTGAGGTAGCCGGGGCCCCATTTATTAAAAGTTGGCAGCGCACTCGCAACCCTACTAGTATTGCAAATATCTATGAGCGGCGGTTATCACTTAACATTAGGTGAACCGCCAGCGTTGCCTCACAAATAATAAAGAAAAATAAATTATTAATGTTTTTTTTTGTCTAAGACCTTACATGTGCAAGTCTAGTCCGTTCCCATTTAATAGCAATAAAGTCGTCACTTACCATTTTATCATATTACATTAGATACTTATTGGTAAACTGGATAGTAAACAAATGTATATTCAAATCGGTACGGTACTCCGCAAACAGAAACGATAGCCATTAAGCGGACATATGGCGCACCAACAGTTCAGATCAGTGTGGCCAAGTTAAAGGCGACAAACAGTACTCATCGGAGAGTGGGAAGATCCCCAAAAACCTTGATGGATGTTGCCCACCCAGGTGACTAGCGTCGCGCCGAGGTCCCGTTACCCGGATGCAGGGGCGCCTGCTCGTATTGCAACCGAAGCGGTCGCCGTGTTGACTGCGACACGCGACGCATTCTATTGTTATATATAAACACCCGAGGCCGTCCCCGAGCGCGTAGAGATCATTGGCCCAGTTATCAATGCCCTCTAATTCGCCTCCTCCATGTCCGTTCACGCCGTAGTCGAAGTTATTCAACTCAATCGCTGTTTGAAGCTCTTATAAATATCAAAAACTGCCCAAATGAAAGTCGGACTCGCGCACGAAGGGTTCCATACAATTATCTATAAAAACGGCAAAAAAATCATGTCTTTTGTATGAGAGCCCTACCTAAATCCCTACAAACTACCACCTACGGGAACTAAAAATGCATCGTTCTGAGTCATCCTGTCGAAGACAAATTTCTCTGCTGTCTATTTTTAATAGAACCATATTTTTATTAGACTTCTTACCGTTTTCCTTAAACTTGTGGATGTCAATTTCTCCTAATGTTTAATTTTACTTTATTGTTTTTCTGGTTTTGGGTAGACTAAATATCTAAAGCGTCACCGCGGGCCTGATACTATATTGGTATGTTATCTTAGTGAAAAAGAATAATTTTATACACAAAATATTCATGTATGCTTGTTTATACCACCCTCCCACGTTACACCGGCAAGATAATGGGTAAATTGCTGATCCCAGTCTAGAAATTGTAAAACTTGACACATTATAATCGAATATTGGCAATCGACAATTGTCGTTGCAATTGCAACCAACTTTCTTTATTCCAATATTTAGTATCTTCTGCACGCATAGCACAATAATTATCCAAGAAACAAAATAATAATTTACACATTAATTACATTTTTACAATTTAAATCTTACTTCACATGGTAGAATTTCAATTATTCCTCTTTACAAACAGAGGCAAAGGATTCCTTAGGAGTAGTCCCATAAATTTGGTTTGTTGTTGAAATCTATGAAATAATCGCTTTTAAACTATCAAGATTGCCATTTGAAACCGTAAAATACTAATTCGCATCGCAATATTTAATAGATGTTTAACTTTAATGCGTAATAAAATGTTCATTTATTACAATCACTATTCACGTAATTTATTCATATAATTTAACAATGGTGTTTTTTTTTTTTCACGGAACGCCAACATCCACAATTCTCCATCAAGGATGACATCATTTTAAAGCTAAATTGTAATGTTGACATTTCGTTTAAATATCCCTATGTCATGTATCTCTAAATTAAAGATAGTGCAGTTCAAAATTCAAAAATGTTATTGTTCAGAATAAGATATTATTAATTGATAAATACTGAGTACATTATTAGAAACCATTCGTTGACTGATCACGATACTATGTGAAAATTTCTCACGGCTAAACTAGTTTAATTTATTTTTTCAACCGTTTCCGAATAATGTGGTCACGCTGACGTTGACATTATGCGTTTAAAATAGTTCAGGTCGTTCGCGGCCGCTTACCGTTTTACTCCAAAACGGGTAAAGGCTTGAACATTGGTAAATTCAAAAAAATGGTGATGGGCGCTCCGTGAAATTTATTAAACAATATCACTGAAACAGTATCATTAACGGCTAACGACTCGGAGTGCAACTTCCCCCAAGGATGCTGCAACAGAGTAGGTATTATGATGTAAACGTTATTTATACCTAAACAACAAACCTTTTTTTATTACATATTTTCTTATTTTTAAATGTTTTTTTTTTTTTAAATTAACCGTAATCTAACTTAATAGTAGAAAGTTAAGTTTCCAGGATTTTCGACCAATTTAAATGGTGTTTCTTGTGGTAATCAAAAACGGCAACCTCAGGACAGGCCTGCCCTAGTATGGTACCAATGGACACCCTTGTTGAAATACGACTCAGATCACCATTAAACGAGAAATTGCGGTATGAACATCACCAGTGATAGATTGCGAGTATATCTGAAGATCATCAGCATAGAGGTGGTAAGAACCTTGAAGATGGTTAGTAAGCTTAATAAACAGTGAAAATAAGAGGGGAGAAAGTATGCCGCCTAGCGGAACGCCTGAAGTCAAGTCCGACCAGTCAGAAATATCCTGACCTATCCATACAGCTTATTGGCGACCGCGATAATAAGAGGAAAACCAGTCCAGTGCCGAAGAGGAAAAATTTAGACGTGAAAGTAAACTAAGTAAATATACTACACCTTGTATGACAATAAAAGTCTTGTTATTATTTTTTATGTGAGAAAGTGGCAAACGAGCTAACGGTTCACCATATGCGTTGCCACCTTTTAATAAAGTGGGCCCCGGCTACAACAATCACGAGACGAAACGCTGAAGTGTAACACTTCTTCTTCACGCCAGTGTTCTGTGAGGTTGAGTTACTTACCTGGATGGACCTGCCCATTCGTGCAACGGCGAATACTGTTGCGTGACCCTACCACAGTTAATTAATGTGTTTTTATTATTTATTTAATAACAGCTGCCCATGGGGGAAAATAATACAGGATGAAAACAAATTCAAAGTCGTAATTGTTTCGAAGAGGCTCCTTCTACGTCCTAATGCGTCCACATTTCCATTAGACGAAGAGAGGCGGAGTCACGTCTTATGCCAGTGGCGGCACGTGCTTCGAGATGGCAACATAAATAACATCGTGTCGACACATCTCACACTTCACGCCGCCGCGCTGAAAGTATCATCCAATGCAAATTTTTCCGCGCCGTTGCAGACTGCGCCGCAAACTACGCCCCGCGCACAAAGACCCCGGAAAATGGTCTATTGGAATTGAAAACGGCATAATGCATGTATAATGTGGTTCCTCGCCACCCAACCGCACAACTCTAACTTGTCTCGATATAACAACGTTCAATAAGTAAATTTAGTTGACAATAGAAACAATGTCGAGCTTAATAAGGTAGTGAACCGCACTGGTCAATTATTCCAGCATACTTTCTATTTGGTGGGCATTGAATAGTTTTTTGTTAAAATTAATTCTATACAGATAATTATGCTGTTTTTTTATTCCATACCAATCCTCTTTTGACGGAAAAATATCTATTACATTTTGTAGAAAAAAGTACGAAGATTTTCGCCGGGGATCGAACCCACGTCTTCGGGATTCGCGCCCTGACGCTTTAACTACTAAGCTTTTCGTACTTTTTTTTAAACATTTGAATGTTTAATCTTAAATGCAGAGTTTACACCATAAAAATTTAAATTTCTAAAAAGCAATGGCGACATCTCTCGTTCAAATTGTAGTTGTAAAACAATATTCGAACTTATTTGTATGCTGGAAAGGATATAACGAAACTGTGCTTCAAATGCAAAAAAAAAACAATGTAGATAAAAGACGTTGAGATTTTCGTCGGTGTGGCAAGCTTTTGTGTGTATGAAGTTTTGTGTTTTTTGTGTGTGTCAAGCTGTGTTTTAGCTTAGTGGCTAAAGCGTCAGGGCGCGAATCCCGAAGACGTGGGTTCGAGTCCCACAGTGGCGAAAAACTTTTCGTACTTTTTTCTACAAATTTTAACGTTTAATCTTAAGTGCAGAAATTAATACTATAAAAATTTTAATTTGGAAAATTATCTACTCAAATTCGTATTCAAGCACAATTGTTTTTATTCAATATACACATATAACAATTACACTTACCTACCTACTTATTGATTGTCAAAATACTACGGTTCGGAAAAGCTTGCCATTAGATTGAGGAGAACCGGCGAATAAAACTCTGCAGGAATTTTTTTCTTATTATTATGGGCATCATAACATTTTCAAGTAGGTATGTACAGGGAGGCAAAAGTCAGTATTTTAATTTTAAGGAAAGGCAACTTTTGACACCAGTAAAAAAACAGAATGAGATACATCGCTATGCATTAGCAAGGTAGGTATCAAATTTGTGGGTTTTTAACTACGTAGTTGGAAACCTACAAATAACCTAAAAACTGCGTAATGGACTCAAACATTTCTCGAGTTGAGAGCGATTAAAAGAAAATGTGAGGATCGTTCCTGCGAGTAACGTAAAACTAATACGTGGAGGAGGGTAGACCGCCCTCCGTAAGATCGCGGCTGCTCCGATCGGAAGATTAACGTGTCTCAGAGCAATTTGTAGGGATTTGTGGAAGTTTCTCGACCAAATAAATTGATCATCCCTATATTATACAACTAGGTCAAACTAATTTTGTACAGGTCACCCATATAGCTATATTTCACGCTGCTTTAGTCATTCGATACTCTATGTAGATTCTTAACACTACAGTAATAAATTTGTGGCTTTAAACGTAGAACGTCACCTGACTTAATTTCGTACAGCCGTTTCCAAGATACTATAAATCACTACATGGCTGCAAAGCACTAATCATACAAAAATGATAATGTAATGTAACAGCTTATAAGCCCCACTAACACACGCGATATGCACTATTTCATTGGCAGACTTCAGTTAACTTTTTTTTTTTTTGAACAAACATGCAGGTTTCCTTGTTTACCATTCTCAAATGTTTTCCTTCATGGGTGAGCATGCACTATCAGCAAAAAAAAATTGCATTCACAATTACATGATGCTGACACAGGGATCAATGTTATCGTTAATGGCACACTCAGGCTGCTCGAGTGCACTGAATTTATAAAGGAGCATGCAGATTCTGAATAATCATGGCTCACTTAGACAAACAAAATCATCAACAATTGTTACTCAGCTTTCAATACCTGTGATGGATTATTATTTAATTCTCGATTACGACATACGTCATTGTCTGCCAATTTGATATGGAATCTGCTACCACAGTAAGAGCCTAAAATTGGTCAGTATTTACCAAAACCGTTCATCCATATTACTGGAAAGAGACAATTATACTTCTGCTACACAAATATTATTAGTACCTGACATAAATTGAACTTAGAACTTACTAAAACTATCATTAAGGCCACACAGTCAATGTCATGGATGTACCTACAGACCAACGGTTATAATTATGGATGAAATGCAGTACCCACAGACTTAGCAAGACTCCGATTTGTGCAGAGCGTGATAGAAACAAATCAAATTACTGAATACTGAATCATAGAAATGAGGGATAATAATGAAACATACTCTATATTGCATTATTCTCAGAACAAGATAACACTTACTCGAACTAAAAAGATTTTTATTCATTTCTCTCAGAAAAAAGTGTATCAATTGATAGATTGACCTTACTATACATTCCAAGAGAGTTTAATAAGAACATTTGAATAACACAAACAAGCAAATTGTAAATTTAGAAAACATTTGCATACTAAAAAAACTCTATGGCAACCAACATTTTCAATATTTAACCTTTATATGAAAAGTAGTCAAATAAAAGAAAAATAACCAGAGGTTTTGTACGGACCGAAATAAGACATATTTAAATTTGAAAGACTGAAAATAATATTTAAATGAAAAAAATAAGGCAATAATAGAAAACCAAATTATTTTTTTTTAATTTGATAGAGTAGATAAAATACAGTTGAAATAGTTAAGTGCTTTGTTTCTGAAATTGAATGCCTAAATTTCTATTTTCTCAACTATACAAAATCTCATAAACGATTTTTCAATCAAAAAATTATCCACAACTCTATTTTATTTTGTTTTCAGTATATTTAGAAACATTCATATGTTTTTGACATAAATATCTATATTAAAAAAGCAAGTGTATCACATGTTCAACTACTGAAGCTAACTAAAAATTTTACAACACATGGTAAAGTTAGACAATCAACTAAGATGACAACGGAGGCGGCAAGGTTCCTCTCACCTCGAAAGTTCAATGGTGCTGGCTCCAGCGGCGTAGCCACCACGGCCACCAACTGCGCCAATGCCTCCACGACCCATAGCACACCCCACATGTCCCACAACCACATCACAACATTCCACTATCTCATTGTTGGCACAACATTTACAAAACTTAACCAATGCGAACTCCTAACTATGCTAATAATTCCTATTGGCACGATCATACTTTGGAAAAATCCATTGCAATAAGACTGCTAACATGCATTTCTTATTCGTCTTATTACATAATTTTAACTATGAAATTCGAAGATCACCGTCCGAATGTTATTAAAACAAAGACAGTAGCTGCACGTCATAACATTTCTTTGCCTAACGCAGGAGTACACACAACATATAACACCGACGTCTCGTCGAATACTAGTGCTGTTCTGCTTGCTTTGCTGTCACATCATAGGTTTGTCGGCAATCTTTGTAAACCGAATAATTTCCTCTATCAGTTTAGTATTAAATCAATTATGGAATCGATGTTGCGAATATCGATTCTCCCGTTTCTCAAAATATTTATTCAGCTAAAAACATCGTTTTCTTTTGTAAACCTTTTCTGCTTCTCTCTTTATTTTTTTGTGAAATACAGATACAGGGGTAATAGGAATAAATTTTAGGCAATTCCCCTTTTTGCATGGTTATCGTTTGTTGAGCTATTTGTTCTAAATAAGAAAGACTCATTTGTGGATCTTTTGGAGTCATAAAATCACCTGCGGGCTGCCAGAAACCGTCTTTATACTTTGCTGGTTGGGAAAACACTCCATTAAAATTAAGTCCAAAAGTTCCTGTAAGAAGAATTTGAATATGATAAAATAATTTAAATGAATAATTTAAATTGTTTTATCACTTTTTATTTGCAATTTTAATGAATAGGCAATTCTTAATTTAGGTATTTAAAAAGCTAACCATCACATAATATTCCCAAACTTAAAATATCTCTTCGATTCGGACCTGATAACCATAGTTTAACGAAATTCACTACTGATTTAGCTTTGTTCAGAGATAGCTCTTCATTATTGCTTTTTTTCTGCAATATTAACATAATTGATTTTATTAAGACATTAAGTATTAAATATAAACTTCCAATATGTGCTGAATTCTAGCATACTTTGAATTCTTGTACTTTCATCCACAAATTTTCATTAAAATACAATAAATATTCCAATGTTCTAAATTCAGGCGTAAGATTTCCAATACATAGGGAAGAATTCTTGACTTTGAGATATCTATTAAAAGGTTCGAACACATTATATCTATGAATCGTATTTTTGACGTCTACAAGGTGATTTATTCCAACAAATCCCCATACTGGTGGGCAAAAAATTTGTTCCTTGGGTATTTCCGCAATTTCTGTTATGACCGATGATATTTCAAGGCCTAAATCAGATGTCACCACAACGATATTTTTCTTTATAATGTTCGTTAATATTTTTGTTAGTAATGTAGCGTTGTAACAAGCTGGCCCAAGATTTGGTAATACTATGTACATATTGCGAGATGCCGATGCATTTATCATAGGAGCCAGATTTTCCATAACTTGAGCATTCTGATAGAGCCAGTCGCCTATTGATAAATCATCACTGAAAACATGAATTTATATCATAATTTGCGCAATAAAAAGTTTTAAAATAATGAGCTCTCATTGCATCATTTTTCTCACCTTAATGGCACGTAATCCATAATAATTAAAAGATCACAATTTGTAAGAGCTATGCCGATTTTTTTGGTACATCTTACAACTTTCCCAGGATTATTCGTACCGATATAACTACATTCTTTTTCAACAAATTCCAAAAATGTTTCTGAATGTTCTTTGTCATAAATATAAATTTTTGAAACGCTTGCATTATTTAGAGACATGTCTAATAAACCTGATATTAGGTACATGGTCAAAGGATGGCTTGCACCCGAAATACAAATACTAAAATCTTTATGGAGTGCATTCTCAAGCTGTTCCAAGTTTGAAATACTTTCTTCTTTCAAAGATTTCTTTTTGTACTGATTATAATTACTTATCAGATCTTTAAATCTGTCGTTGGATAAAAATGATTCAAACCGGTAATAAGAATAACAGTAATCAAGAAATTCTGATGCTCCCCCAATATAATACGGCTTACTTCCTTCCATTAACAGCTCTTTCCAAACTAATGGCGATTCGCAATGGTGCCATTTATTTCTAACGTTAATTTTATATAGCCATGTCTGGTGATAAAGAAACCTATTAATTGTTATGTACACGAAAGGAACAACTTTGACGCTCAATAGTATTCTTTATCATCTTACCTTCCATTCTAGTACCGATATTTCTATCCGTTTGTAATAAAAATTTGGCAAATTTGCAGAAAGATAATCAGCAATAAGGCATATTTTTGCAAATGATTCACATTGAGATTCTCCGGCTATAACCATTTGTAAACTCATTTTCACTTACTTTTGGTAAGTGATATTAAAATACGAATGGGAAAATTCAATAAACAAATTTCATTTATTTTTAAGAACAAAATAGGTTTTAATAATATTAACAGTGTCTCATATTTTATTTTATAATAATTATTATGCATACAAAAAACAAACATGCCCACAATTAAGTACTTATATTATTTAGTAAATATAAAATATATTATATATTTTTATTGACATTATAATCTTCATGTAATAAATGTAATTTTCATTAGTCATTTCATTTTATTGCGAAAGGTTGTACTGTTGTACTTTTTGTGCTGTTCTTTTATGTTCTTCTGTTCTTATTATTTCGATAGTCGATGTTTAAAACTATTACAGGGAAATAAATGGAGTGATATAAGGATGTTTACACGCTTACAAGTATCATGCTCCGACTATTTTTAATATAGTTGAACCTCTGGGGTTTTCCGTGAAACGACTAGGTATTCATCGATTCTAGACAAGCGACAGTAAATGTCAATGTCAGATGTCATTTGATACTTAGGGCTTGCGAAATGGGCATGGGGTTTAGTATATTTTATATTAATCTAACCCTAGGCGAAGGTCTATGGTAAATTGCCAATCAATAGTCGCGTGTAACGTAGTGGTTATAATTTATATTCTCTTTGCGCGTGATTTGTACTAAAGTCTGAATTTCAGTTATCAGTATCTTCCTTATTTATTTATATTCTTCATTATAAATTTTAGTCATACATGCTTTAAATAAAATAATTGCCTGCGTTGTTAAGAGACAAAAGAAAGAACAAAATAATGCAAAACAACTGGGGTTTTTGTGATTTATCGCTGAATAGAAATTGTGATATTAACAAAATTTGTATGTTACATAAATTAGGTTTCAATACAGTCGCTATTAACACTCATGTTGAAGAAGCAAGTGAAGAACCCAAAAAGAAAAAACGAAAAGGAGAAACAAAGGAAAAGAAAGATTTTATACCAGATCCAATTGAAATTCCCAAAGACTTGGATAAAAGTAGACTTAATATCCTCCAAAGGGTAACAATAGAGTTTTCAGAATCAAGTATTTCTCATAAGTTTAATCAGTCTGATAATATTAAAAAATATGATATAATAGCAGTGGTACCTAAAACTTTGCAAGCATTTCAGTATGCATGTGGGACTTTGGACGTTGATGTTATAACTTTTACACCAGAAAGCCGAGTTCCTTTTAAAGTCAGTCGGAAGTTATATAATCAAGCAATAGAACGTGGCATATTTTTTGAACTCATGTACTCACCAGCAATCAAAGATTCTACCTCAAGAAAAAATATCATAAGCATGGCGCATACTTACCATGCTGTTGGCAAATCCAAAAACATAATTATTACCAGTGGGGCAGATAATTTAATGTACATTAGAGGTATTCATGATGTCATTAATCTTGGATTTATATTAGGATTAAACAGTAATTTGAGTTTAGATTCAATCAGGAATAATGCTCGGCGACTTATATTAAAAGCAGGTGGAAGAAAATGTGGAAAGAATTATTTAGCTGTATCATATATAAGTGAAAGTGATAATAAAACAATATAAGAATAATACATATTTTAATTCCATAAATATTTTCCCAAAAAAATTTTACCAAATTGTAAGGTAAACAATTTATTTCAACAAATAATAACATATAATCAGAATAAAGATAACATATTCAATCAGTACAATCTAATCAAACTAAAAACGTCACAGTCCAAAAACATATTGAAGATTTATAGTAGTTTTATTTATGTAAGTTTTAAGACATGAAAATACTATCAAAAGCTTGTTTGAAGTAAAAGTAGTTATGACTCAGAGTATATACATAAGATTAAGGATAGTAAAATTTTCAAAATAATAATCGCATTGGAATCAGTCTTTTTACTTTAGTATTGTAATGTTTTATGTCAACCTATTGATACACGTCGTTGAAATCAATAAAACAATTTCAAAAGCTTTCAGTTTGACAACATTGTATAGAAATAGTAAGGACCTTAATTTCAGATTAACAATAATGTTATTACACATTCACTGAAATTTCGCCATATTCATTACATGTATTAAATTGACATATAATTAATATATTGATACAGCAACAAACTATTTGAAAGCATTATTATAAAGACTAATTTTTTTTAGTGTTGCAGAAATATTGACATGACCTACATAACCATGCTAGTTGCCATAGGTACCTACTGCAATACTTTTCACAATACAATACTTTGTCTCATTTTTTACTCAAGAATGTGATAGCTTGTGAGCATTTTTATATCAACTGTAACATGACATTAGTTTTTTGTGAGCTTCAGCTATAATAATTATTTTAAGTGCTTTATTGTCAATAACTAGTGATTTGATAAAACTTTCATCATCATTATTTTAGCTTGTTCTAGTTCACTTCTGAATGGCCTACAGACTGCATTAAAGCATGATCCTTAGCCACCTGTATGCATCAACTTACTGCACAAGTGCACAGGTTATCACTCCTCCCTCACTCTATTTTATATAAACTATCATCTTTTAAAAAAAATGCTTTTTATATAAATTATAAGTAGTAATATATCATTCTACAATCAGTCAAGGTATTTTATTTATTCAGCCTTAATATGATCTTCCAGCCTTGCAGGTTCTTGAATTGTCTCATCCTTATTAATTGTGTTCACTCTCTCTACTGATAGATGAGAAGTGGCAGAGGTTGTTTTGTTAGGTGATTCTTCCGGCAACGCAAATATGTCGGCAACCCGTTTAAACCTGAATTTGAAGAAAAATATTATAAAGAGTAATTGTAATGCACCAATTGAGACTGATTAAAATAAAAGTAATTTTCTTGGTAAAAGTTATTTAACTGGTTTAAAAGAAAGTTTTAAAAAATCAACAGCAATAAGACTTTGTAGTGAATGACTTAGTATTTTTTATTGATGCACAGGATTGCCCTTTGACTTCACTTGATCAATTTTCCAGTAGGGATATAGAAACTTCATAAAATATTGATACTTCAAATTTTTTATATATAAAAAGATGATATATTATTATCATTTTAGTCCAATAAAAATATTTTTAAAATACTTGCAATAATTTCAATTAATTTCATTAAACTTAGCATACTCTGTCAAAATAATTCAAATAATTATGTAATGAAAAAGAATATTTTACAGGTTGATGACAATTATCAATATTAGTACTAAAGCTCAAGTTTAGGGTACAACATTATTTGCGATATTTAATAAACGTTAGCCACATATCATTGCTGTAAGTTGCTGTTAGTATAATGAGGATAAATGAAAAGCACGACATCGATTTTTATTCATATTATTTTCAAATGCAATCTCAACTTTTGGTAGGTACATTGTAATAAAAAAATGTAAAAAATTCACACAATATGATACATAATGACAAATTAAATAATTCACACAGTGCTTAAACAATCATTAACGCCCTAATATTAAATTGCTAAGTACCTTATCAGAATAAATAATAGTATTTTATTCTATGTATGAGTTGCGATCTCATCTATTAATTTAAGAGTTAGCACCATGGATGTTTATTTTGTAGCAAAGGATTCTGTCCATAAATTACATTGACGATATCTCAAACAGTTCAACAACTAAGAAAATAATGAAAATTACAGGTGGAATTTATCTTCACAAAACCATATGAGTATTTTTTTAAATTTATTGAATGCTTTAAAGAGTTCATAAGTAGCACTGTAATTAACATAAAGATGTTATTTTCTTAAAAACAATAATGTAGATAAATTATTAACATGTTATCATTTCATTACAAGATAATATTTCCCTAATTTACAGTGGCAGTGAAAATTTTTAATTTTTACAATTATTAATGTTTGAGTGTTCACACAAAATTCTAATTCACACCATTTGCAATGATTACTAGTAACAGCGAAAGCATACACTGCATAAATCACGAAACAAACATGAAACAGTCTCTCTCGCTCTTTCTTAATATCTTCAATTTAAGTTTATTCTGTTAGATGCAGGTTAATGTTATGAACGTGATTTTTTTTCAGTCTACAACGAAATAAATGTAAATGCCAAATTGGTGCTATTTGCAACACCTATTCCACATAAACCTGGTTGTAATTATAAACAAAAGGCACTCGTAAATACATAAAAATTGGGATACGTGTAATTAAGTGAAAATGTGCGTTAGAGATGAATTGAGGTGAATCGAAATGATGAATTTAAAAACCTAGACCGTTAAAAACATACAGAAGCTTCGCCTGCAACAACTATAGAGATTCAACACGACTAGAAAATTTCATTCTATCATAGCCTCACAATGAAATGCCACTTAAAAGGATGGCGTCTATTGTTGTTGCAGGTTCGACCGTAATATTGAGCAACATGATAAAACATAAAGGTTGCATAATCCAAGCAGTCTTCGTTAGTCTTTTTTTTAATTGTAATAGTAGTTCTTACTCTATGTCTTCAAATTTTTAATCTATGTATGTGAAGTTGTGAACCTTCATTATCTCATAGCGGAAATTTCACCACTACTTTATACAAAGCATTTAAAATATATCATGGCAATTATATGAACTAATAAGTAATTTAAATAATTAAAAGTCATCAATTTCAGTAACATAAGGAACCAATAAAAAATTATCCACATTTAAATAATAAATAATCTCCCAATCATACAAATTAACCGTAACTAGTTAACAAATTCAGTCTCATTGGTTAAAATATAATTGTAATTGATTTACCGAAAAGTATCCTCCCTCAACAACTTTAATTTTTAAATTTAACAGAACATTTCAATTATCTAACCATCAATTTTGGAAATAAAATAAAAAAATATAATCATGAAATAGATATATGAACTGTAGGTTAAAGTAATATTTTTATGTTACTATTAAGACTAAAAATTGGATATTTTAAAGAAATTAATGCATTCATGTCTATCACACAATAAATATTTAAAAGGTAGGTAAACCAAGTCAGTGCTAAAAATATAGCCGGTATTAATTTCATGCATATGCTAACATGAGCTGTTTGTGTTATAAGATTTTTTGTACATTAAGTTCATTTGCTCAATAGGCTGCTCCGGAAATAGTCATATAACATGAACTATGATTTATAATGAATGATCATTAAATATTATTAATAATACCATCAGAATATAATATAATTAGTGAGAAATTTAACATTTACCCATAATTATATTCATTATAATTACTTGCTAATCATACATATAATATTTATCGAATGTTGCACAATTCATAACCTAATCCTGTGATATTCCATAGTGATGTCTTTTTAAAAAACAAAATGACTTATGTCATACTTAACACAACCGACCTACACATTCCAAATATAATTTTATAAGACTCCAAAAATTAAAAAGAAAACAAAATTAGGCGCAGAGTCTGTCGACCTTATTTTATCTGTAACTGCTGACTGTACAGGTTACACTTATATTTGGCAACACTCGTTTTTAGCACTCGGATTGGATCGCCCGATCGGGGAAAACAATCGGACCGTCTGAGTGGCTCATGCAATCGGGGCGTTCGATGGGCCACACCATCGAGCCGCCCGATTGGTTCATGCGATCAGACTGTTCGGTCGGGCGATGCGATTGGTCCGTCCAACCGGACGCTTCGGGCGTCAGTTGTTGAGGAAAGAGACGCAGTGCGCGACCGTGTTGACGTTTTCCACCAACCTGTTGTATAGTTCACGGCGTACGCTCGCCGTGAACTTGCTAACGAGACACAGTGTCGCGGTGGCGGCGAAGATCGCGTTATAAAGCAGCACCAGCTTGAAGTTACCCAGCCACTCGATGCGGCCGAATTCGCCGAGTAGGTCGAAGTTCGTTATTCCTAAGGAAAGATCATCAAAATTAATTTCATTTTACAATTGACACTTTTATTTTTCTTAGCTATTATAGCTAGCTTTATTAGCTAAATATAACAGCTTCGTTTATTTACGTATGCTATTTTTGATCAGTAACTATTTTATTGCTTGTAAAACGATTGCAAATCTATGACGGTGATTTCAACAATTGATGTCAATTATAAATAAAATATTTATGATGTAGATAACTAGACTAGACTATGCCCTGATACCCTCTGTACAGAGGAGGCCTTTGCCCAGCAGTGGTATATGTATAGGTTGATACTTTACTTTCTTTACTTTCTGATGTAGATATCCTTAATAATTACAAGTTATCCCTAATGTTTCAAACCGAAGACCTAGAAAATAAAGCGTGGCAAACTTAAAAAAGAAAAAAAACTACTGTAAATATATAGAAAATTTCCTTTAAATTTTAGAAATTCAACAATTTTTATTTGAATGAAACTAATTTTTACGGATTTATCGCGTTTTATTTATCGTTAAAATTAGTTTCATTTATAATGTATAATCGCGTAAATGCAAGAAATTATAATTTTTATTTGAATTACAAAATTTTCTAATCTCCAAATGTATGACACAATTTATTGTTTAATTAATGATAAATAACGTGTACATTAAAAAGAAATATTTATCTTTATGGCGTATTAATAAAAGTAGGGCGCTGTGACATTTAGCGCAAGATAACATGGCATCGAATTAGTGGCAATTAGTACATGGTCTAACAATATTTTGTGAATTCTCATTTTAACGAAACGTATTTGATAATTATATTTTAAATATTATAGAATTGTGTGCGAGTGTATTTGTATTATACTAAAAGTAAGTATTTGTAATTATTTTGGACAAATGAGCCATTAGTTCATATTTTTATAAACATTGCCCTGATTGTAGAAATAATCCCGTGTAGTAAAGATGTTTTACAAACATTAATTTCACGTGGAAGAACACACAGATTCAAAACAATTATCTGAGGGTAACACAAATAGCTGTCCCGTGTGGGAATCGAACCCACCACTCCCGGCGCCGAAATCAATGCACTGCAACTGCACTGCGGAGTCATCGATATGTTCAACATTAATGTCCTAATAGCGCAATCGCATCCAGCTTCTTTTATATCACGGTAATTCGAAAATTATTAAGATAAAAAGAACATACAGTTTCTTCTAGGCCGATGTTTCTCCAATAATAAACAATCTCCAATAAGAAACATATCTCCAATAATAAACATAAAGTTATAATTGTATCGGGTATCGGATAATATAGGACAAGGTTTTGGTTCTTTACTTTCCAAACATGTAAATAATGTATATAATATATGTTCACCAGGTGCCAGTTTTCATAACAATATTAACAAATTATTGACATTAAACTTAAATGAGAATAGTACTATTGTACTACTTCATGGGGATAGTTCATCTGTAAGGAAACAGGAAATTGTTAATAATATAGAAATATTACTCAACTTACATTATAAAACTAAGCGCAAATTTATAATATGCTCATTTCCATATTCCTCTTTCCTTTCAGAGGAACAAAATAAATACATATATAGTCTTAACATGACTATATATAACATAACTCACCGTCATAGTGACGCTTTCTTTTATTTTGACTTAAATAATTTTATTAAATCTAGTTTTAAGGTGACAAAAAATACTTTGTATTTGCCACTATATTATAAGAAACGAATTGCTACTCTAGTAGCATATAATATACAAAAGTTGTACATAGTACAACTAAGAATATTTTATTATGTAATAATCTTTCAGCAAACAATGTTAGTTTAAACTAAACATTGAGACAACGCCTAGGCCACTTAAATTAAATATTGTGCATCAAAATATACAAGGCTTAGGCGGCAAAGAACCCGAAATTGAATTGTTCCTTAGGAAATTTAATATACATGTCATCTGCTTCACAGAGACATGGTTACATAAGCACTGTAATATTGTTAATATAGAAAATTATAAATTGTTAAGTTCGTTCGTAAGAGTAAATGCTATTCGCGGTGGCTCTCTTGTATTAGTTAGAACTGATATAGTCTGTAAAAATCGACAGGATATAGTGGCACACTCTGTCGAACGTTCTATTGAATTATCCTGCGTTGAGAGTCAACAGTATATTATAGTATGCGTGTATCGACCCCCCTCAGGTGATTTCGATCTGTTTGAGTGTGTAATGGATGATGTACTTAAAAAACTATGTTCAAGTAGTAAATCATTAATAGTTTGTGGAGATTTTAATGTGGATTTATTACAAGTAACACAACTCAGTAAACGACTTTTAAATTTATTTGACTTAAAAATTTGAACTTAAAAATCTTTTTCATGAACCAACTCGTGTTACTAACTTATCCTCCTCATGTATAGGTAATGTATTCTGTCACAATTATGTATATGATAAATATGTTATAAATCATCTGAGCTCGGATCACTTTGGGCTAAAATTTTCAATAAATGAAAAAGCTAATACAAGCAAACTTAAGATCAAGTGTAGACCAGTCACTACTAATAGAATAAATGCTTTTAGAGATAAAGTGGCACATCATATGTTAAATAAAGATATAGGAGTCAATAACCCTAATGATTCTTATAGATCAATAGTTGACTTTCTCATATCTTCTTATAATGATACTTTTAAATCGCGCACAATTGTTAAGAATTCAAAATTAAAATTTAGTGACTGGGCAACAGTGGGTATATACAAAAGTAGGGATTCATTGTATGAATTATATAGTATGAGGCAGTGGAATCACGATCCTAACTTCCTTAAACGGTATAGACATTTTCAAAAATATTTAAAAAAAGTCTGTGTTCAGGCAAAATCTATTTATATAAGAAATAGCATAATAAATTCAAACAATAGAACTAAAGCCACATGAGACATCATTACCCGAATATCTGGAAGAACCAAGATATTCAGGGAACCTATAAAACTAGTTATAGGTAATACTCCCATAATATCAGATAACGAAATTGCGAGTAGTTTCGAAAGCTATTTTTCAGACATTGCGGTTAATGTCACACGTACATTAAAATCATCTCCCGCAGACGCAATTAATGTTTTAAGAAATAATGTTACCCCTTGTCTACACACAATTAAATTTAATCACGTAGATACTTATGATATTATAAAAGTTTTGAATTCTATTAATCTTAAAAATACAGAAGATTTATGGGGTATGTCCATAAAATTAATGAGCACAATAATGCCATATATTGCACCACATTTGGCTTCTATTTTTAACAACTGCATAGATTCTGGAATATTTCCAGATCTTATGAAATTTAGTAAGATAATACCTGTCTACAAAAGTGGTGATAAAAATGATCCAGGCAATTATAGACCTATTTCCATATTGTCATCTCTTAGTAAAGTTTTTGAAAAGCTAATATTAAATCAACTTTTAGTTCATTTTAATGTGAACAAAATCTTTCACGATGAGCAATATGGATTTACTAAAGGCAGATCGACAACAGATGCGGGCGTCGCACTTGTCAAACATATTTATAACGCCTGGGAAAGGTCACAAGATGCAATAGGTGTCTTTTGTGACCTTTCAAAAGCCTTCGACTGCGTAGACCATAAAACTCTCCTTCAAAAGCTAGAATATTATGGCATTCGTGGCATCGCCCTCAATCTCATTGCCTCTTACCTTAGTAATAGAATTCAAAAAGTATTTATAAATGATGTTAATTCCGCTGGGTCCCAGATGAAAATGGGTGTCCCACAAGGATCAATCTTGGGCCCATTATTATTTTTAGTATATATTAATGATCTCCCCTTTTATGCCAGTGGGTTGTGTGATGTTGTACTGTTTGCTGACGATACATCGCTTATTTTTAAAGTTGACCGAAACGTATTAAATTATGACGACGTGAATAGTGCACTTTCACATATCCTCCACTGGTTTACTATTAATAATATGGTATTAAATGCCAAAAAAAAAACAGATGTATTCTTTTTACCCTTCCCAGTATAAGAAGGAAAAGTTTTAGTTTAATATTAAATAATGTACACATTAATCCAGTGGAGTCCCCATATATCATCTCTTGCGAATAGGCTGAGCTCCGCGGTTTTTGCGATTAGAAGGGTTAGGCAGCTAACAGACATCGACACTGCCAGACTTGTTTACTTTAGTTATTTCACAGCATCTTATCGTACAGCATTTTGTTGTGGGGTAGTGCATCAGATATAAATTCTATATTTATTCTTCAAAAAAGAGAGCTGTCCGAGCAATCTACAATATCGGAGCCCGGAATTCACTCAGAGATCTTTTCAAAGAGGTTAATATACTCACTGTTGCTTTTCAATACATTTATTGTAATGTTTTGTATATACGTCATAACCTTAATTATTACCTAAAGAATAGTGACAGACATAAAATAAACACTAGAAATAAGGACAAACTTACTACGCCATTGTTTCGTCTACAAAAAGTAAATAAATCGTTCATGGGGCAAAGTGTGCGCATGTATAATAAAATCCCACAGTCGATATTAAGTCTGCCGCTTGACCAATTTAAATGTAAAATTAAAAATCAACTGATGATTAAAGCATATTATACCATTTCGGAATATCTCGACGACGCCAATGTGTGGAGTTAATACTGTTGATACTCACGTAGGATAGAATAAGACTATTATACCTGTATATTATATTGTACCCTGATATTTTTGAAAAAGAGCAACTGTTGAGTTTCTTGCCGGTCTCTTCTCAACAGAAACCGCTTTCCGAACCGGTGGTACCTTACGAACCTATACACATAATCTTTGATGTAAAATTTGACGATTCATAAGAGCGCGCAAGCGTCTATTTGAATAAATATATTTTTGATTTTGATTTTGATTTTGCAATGCTATGGAAGATACTAAAGCACTGACTATAAAAACATGACCGATTCACGGCAATTTAACACTTCCTTCTAGACCAAGATGGGAAACTGAATGTCAAAGCTAACCAGCATCGAATGTGTCAACGTACCACGAACGTAAGTAAACAAAGAAGCGAAGAGCGTCAGTTTCACGGCATTGTGAACTTTCTAACGAGTGTGAGAAGGTGCAGACCTGTGCGTGCTAATACCGTAGACAAAACGAGCTTTTCTGCCGATTACAGAGCTGAAAGACCAAAACGCGGTCGTCCGACACATTTTGAGTCTTATCTCCAACGGCTGAGGGTGTAAAGTGGAATGGAAAGCGCAATTGAAATCTTCACGAACAGCGGTTGTTTTCTGAGCCGTTCCTCGCAAGCGTGCCTTGCCCTTTACCACGTTTAAATCTGCGCGGCGCGTACGTACTGGTTAGGAGGGGTGGGGCATATTATGGCCCTTATTTCTAAAGCGCAAGGGTGTAAATTGGCGTGGCACACACCGAGTATCTTCACGAGGAGCGGCTGCGCGGTGGAGTGGGCGAGGAGTAGGGCGCTCAGCGCGATGATCCTGGCCAGGGGGGTGCGCTGGGCCCGGGGCATCAGGCGCAGAGCGCTGACGGGCGCGCAGAGGCCGGTGAGCGAAGCCGCGTGCAGGTACAGTATCAGGAACGTCTCCAGCGTGGCGCCAGCCCACCCGAGCTTGGAGAGCGACGCTATACCCAGTGTGAATTGCTGCGCGAAGAAGGGGTACTCGATATTAGCACGATTTGACATGAGATTATACCCGATGGGTGCCAATACAATTGCTGGGTAAAGGCCTCCTCTGTATAGAGGGTACTGGGGCACAGCCCACCACGCGACCCCATTGCGCATTGGCGGACTTCACACATTTTCGAAATTAATTTTTTTGTTATTATTTCGGAGGTTTCCTCACGATGTTTTTATTTCACCACTGAGCCACGTTTTACGTCAGCACTTAAAATTAACAATTTCAATGACCGGCACCGGAATTTAAACTCAGGCTGCTCGCGCATATTGAATTAAAAGCGAGCGCCTGCATACGGATATGGATCGGCTTAAGCGAAAGTATTGTATCCATTGCATTTTCCAAAGCCGCAACTTCTTGTGTTTGGGTCATAAAAATATTTCTCTGATGTTTAAATTAAACCCACGATTAATAAATTCAGAACAGTGCCATATGGGTTAACCATTCCAGACAAATTATATGGGTGGTTATTTAATTAATAATTTTGACGAATTGATACAGGAAAGGTCCTCTAGATTTTAGCAACATATTTCGCAGATAAAATATTATTAAGTCTGCCAAATTGTGGTGGGGTCGTGTGGTGCTAGTCCTAACAAACGGACGGCCTTGCCCTGTGAAATATAAAAAAGTGCCAAATATAAAACAGTGGAACACCTTTTTTTATGTGAAAAGTTGCTAAGGGTGCAAGCGGTTTCCAAGGTCATCTACAACACGTGAAGGGATGCGTAACGCATCACGAGCCTGCCCATTCGTGCAACACCAGAATCTGCTTTATATATAATATAGTATATTTTTATTTATTTTATAATATATTTTAAGTACATGGCTGTTACAAATAAATGATCACCCGTGTACTGAGCGGCAGCGCTTTGATGCCAATGAGCAGCTCGAGGGTGTTCTGCAGCACCATGAGCACCGTGATGGCGGTGAGCGCTAGTAGCAGAAGCATCGCCAGGGGGTACACGACGTTGCGCTGGAACGAGGACGTCTTTCGTTGGTTCTCCACTTCCTGGAAACGACGTCAGCGATTATAATTTTTGTGAAGAATCATCGCCAAACAAACGTCATGTTTGTTCCCTAATAAGTACGGTAAATAATATATACGAGAAAAAGAAATGGGTCGAGGATCGAGCCCTGCGGAACGCCCACTGATATCATTGCAACAGACTTGTTACAACTTTATTAATTGTATTAAAAAATATGACTATATCAGGTCAAGCGTGGTTCGTTTAATGCCGTATTGGTGTACTTTTTTGATAAGTGTTTACTTCGCAATCAAAAGCCTTGGAAAGATCAGGCACCCAGAGCATCCTGTGAACTCTCCCATGTTCGTGATGTAATCATTTGTTTAAATTATAATGTCTTAACAGCTGATAAAGAAAAAGTTTTTCGAAAATTTTACAAGCGTTGGTAGAATAGAAATAAGTCTAAAGTTAGTGGAGTCAGAAGAACTACCGGATTTAAATAAAGGTATGACTTTATTGTGTTTGATCAAATCAGGAGGCGTATTTCCTGATTACGCAAAACATAAAAACCAAATCCAATAAATTAATTTTAAAATTAGTTGTCTTTAATATATTGTCAATATCTGTGAAAACGCAGCCGCTACCGGCGATTTTGATCCGTAGGGAGTAGAAAAGTGATTCCAATCCAAAATTAACTTCGGTCTTAGATTATCTGCCATAACTACAAACTTAGGCGTGACCCTCCAAGTGATTTTTGATTCTTTTCAGTGAATTATGTGGTTTTTGTGTGGGCGAAGTGGTAACGAAATAATTAATTATTTCCTTACCACTTAATTATGAAAAGCAACTCTGGCTAACTGTCAAAAATTGCTTATAAGCACACGTTCGCACCATTTTGAAGTAGATACATAAAGGTGTGGAAATGTTTTTGTAAGGTTCCAAGTGGTGTTGACCCTAAATTACAAACAAAACTGAATATAAATAAAATATTATCTCTCGCACTCCTTAGTCCAGGTAGGTAAACTGGTTTAGGATTTGCTTTTTTTCATAAGTATCAATAATTGCTACAGTCATTTGTGCGCCATGCTTAAGTGGCAAAGCTCTGATAAAAAAGTTACTTATTGAATTTTACTTTGAGGTTTAGGAGATATTGGGGCCTTGAACCATTTAAAAAATTCCAGTAATTACTACGATACGGTTCGCCTCACATACAGATGGAAATTTATTAAAAAACATTAAATGTTTATTTGGCACATAAAAAAACAAACAAATGTAGTTATACATTTCTTCTGAATTTTCGATAGGGAAATAATAAACTATGTAAAAAAATAATATCGCCTAAAACTACATACATAAAACATATACTACTTATCTTTCTTATCCTTTAAACGAGCAATTCTTGTATATATGTATATAATCGGAATCTCGGAAACGGCTCCAGCGATTTTCATGAAATTTAGTATGTGCGTAGATTCGGGGGCGAAAAATCGATCTAGCTAGGTTTCATTTTTAGAAAATGTCATTTTATCCCTGTTTTCAGGGAATGAAAAATATAATTCGAATATGACGGTAAATTTCGCCGCAAAAGAAAATGTCATAATAGCTCGGTCGGTAATCGGGCGGCCCCAAAACAGACGGCCGTGGTTCGCGTCACGATCATTTACACATTTATTGTTTTACTTTTTTTTCGATTCCAGATCATTGCTTTCTTTATTTTTAATTTTTTGTCGATTTGTTACTTTGTTATTTTTTTCCCTTTTTTTTAAAGTTCTTTCTTTTGTGATAAACATCAGTTCATATTTTTCTGATGATATTCTTTTATTTATCAATAAAGAATATTATCTTATATTTGTAGAAAAACGGTAAATTGTGGTTCATTTAAACAAATTGTCAATACATGGCATTATATCAAATTCTTTATGAGAATTTTTAACGTTTTATTAAAAAATTAACTTCCTTCTATTTGTATATTCTGCGTCAACAGCGGCTAATGTAAGCTTTAAAATGGTGTCTGAATCATTTTTAAGTCATGGCGTTTCGACAAAAACACCTTTGAGAATAAATAGGCACTTATACTCGTAGAATAAATACTACGCAATAGTGAGCGGTTTTGCGTATAGATTTCGTCATACATATTATGGTACCGAGAAGAATGTGTTCGATGCGACACAATAATAACCGTACGAGTAAGCAATCGATATCAAAACTGTTTAATGTTGGAATGGTTGTTTACCTTTATCGACGTGGCTTAAACATCAAGCGCGTCGAGCGGGTAAACTTGTAATGGTTGCTTTTATTTAGTTGATTAGAGGTTCAAATACTAAACATACAAAGATTTAAAGTATTCGTTCATCTTTATTATTTTTTTCGACGGACTTTAATGTTCATGGCGGTCTTCGAAATAGCTGGAGTACTCTTTGGACTGCAGATAAAGATACTCCTATTACACTGACTTCTTTCTCCTTGTACCACAGTGAAAATCTGTGTACATTCTTCATGTGATAGCGACATGATGCACTGATTCGATTTTTGTCGCTCGTGGTAATTGAATCAATAACAGCGCGTAATGGCAGTCACTACCATAACCATTTTTCAGTAGATTTCACTTTAATTCGTGATAACTAAACGAAGAAATCGAATATAGTATTCTTTTGTTATGTATTTAAACTCTCAAAGCAATTTAAGTAAACAAGGGGAACAAAGAATTGATTTATTATATACCAGTTCAGGTTGAATTTTAGTCTCCGTCCCGATATAATTATTGTAGTTTGACGGACGGACTGCATAACAATATGGACGCCTAAATGCTCATAATAGATTAGGAAAGGTTTAGTTTATCTTCATAGCTCAATCGGATCACGGGTTCAATTCCCGCACGGGACAAATATGACTCAGTCAATGTAAAACATTCTTTAGACAAAATGTATTGAAGTACAGTGGGATTTATATTCAAAAACAAACTCGCTTAGAATTTACCTGCTCTTTACAAAACTTTATAAAACAAAGTCGCTCCCGTTGTTTGTACGGTTAGATCTTTTAAACTACGTAATGGATGTTAATACAGTTTTCAGCAATAGATAGAGTGATTCAAGAGGGAGGTTTATATCCACATTGCACCCGTGCAAGGCCGGGGCGGTTCGCTAGTATCTCATAAAATACGAAGAGCGTTTGACGATTTCAATAATACATAAACGATTGCGAAAAACAGCAACGATACACGCGGGATGCTTTTATTTACTTAATTTTCGACCCGTTTAATAACTTGACACAAGTTTGAAGTATACACAGACTGGACACGACGGGAGTTATTTGTTTTTTTACCGTACGAAATTAAAATCTTCTATGACGTCAGAAACGAGGAATGATTTGCTTGCATATTATGGAAGAAACATAAGGTCCTGAGGTGCAATATAAGGTCATAAAGTAGGAACTGTTACTTCTGAGTTTCCTCTGGTAAGCGAGGTAGCCGGGGCCTACAGGTAAACGCAAAAGTCACTAACATAATTCACTGTAAGGTGGTGATGTATCTGCAACCATTCGGGTGTTGCGAAATTCAATCAATCTCATCACTTAACATCAGGTGAACCACCAGGTCGTTTGCCACGTTCTCGCATCGAAATAGGCCAACTAAGCCATCGCGTGTTCCGTACTGACCTTCCTCATAGCGACGACTTTCTGCAGCCGCTCGTTTAGCCCCGCCTGCAAGGCCCCGTTCCTAAGCCGAAGCAGCGGGGTGCGCTTGCAGTCCGGCGCCGCCACGCCCTCCTTCAGCGTGGACAGGTCGGCGTCCACGGGCGCCGAGATGTCCCCCCGGTCCGAGTACATCGGCTCGGGTGATATGTACCCGACGCCTGATGAGGAAACGAGGCTCCGTTTAGCGCCTTTTTTTTTTCTTTGAAACATTGTAGGATAATATTATCCCGTGTTGTAAAAACGTTCTTTTTTCTTTTCTCTTTTAAAATAAAACATTGCCTTTACTGTAGGATAAGATTATCCCGTGTTGTAAGAACGTTTTAAATACATAAATTTCACGTGAACAAACACCCAGATCCGAAACAATTATCTTTGGGTCACACAAATGGCTGTCCCGTGTGGGAATCGAACCCGCGACCTCCAGCGCAAAAGCCAATAACTTGGCAACTGCGCCGCGGAGTCATCGTTCCTACTACCACTTTAATGGTGGTGTAATTATTATGATAGAGATGAGCAGGTAACTCCCGGCTGTTAATGTTCGCCTCCACCCACGAGCATTCGCAAACTCGTGGCGTTTCTATTGATTTATGGGTAAGCTCCTAAACGGAGCACACACACGGTGCTTGGCTTTGCAACGGGAATTTAAATGACATACGAGATGCATGAGCGAGTTGATTCGGATTAGTAAAAACAATTACCATAGCCAGCTAGTAAGGTTCATTTATATCATGAAATGTTAATCCACAAGATATTCTGCTAAAATTGTACGTTTGTTTAAGCACTTTTCGGATCGAACCAAATAGACTACCTGGCGCACCTTTATTAACCTGTTTCGTTTCCATCGAGCATGTTATCGGTGTATTCAAGGAGGTATTGTAAGGTATTCATGGTGCGTATGTACAGTAACGATAAAAAGATTAGAGATAGAATATTAGGTGATTGAAACATCGCTGGATGTGCCCTATTGCCTCTATAAGACTGTAATCATTCCTAATCGGCATTCGCAGCCGAGGCGGCGAGCTCTCTACAATTATCTATACTGATAAATAAAATTTATGTGTCTGTTTGTAATATTAAAACTTTTCCTTTTAACTAAATGCATATGGTACATACTATACCAAAATACAATAATTTACAAGTCTTTTGTTTCAGCTAATCTCTGAAACAGTTTGACCGATTGGCGGGACTTTCACTTCATATTTTAAATTCCACGCGGACGAAGTCGCGGGCACAGCTAGTCAATACTAAACATTATCTTACGGTCAGTGTGCGCGTATAGAGAAGCGAATGTAACTCTAACACACGTGCGTTGACCTAAAGAATACGCCAGAGCTTCGGATTGGATAGAAGATACTTAGTAAAACAATGTATTGACATTTTAAACGAGCGCCAAGTGTTTAGTTAGACTTTTACTTCTTGTGTTGACGTTGGTCTCGATATTCGAGTTTACGGAAAGCGTCTTTTTCAAGCAAAACAAGTGCGTGTCGGACCCGCGCACGAATACTTCCGTACTATATTACGTATAAAAACGGCATAGAAATAATGCATGTTGTATGGGAGCCCCACTTAAATATATATTAATTCTGTTTTTTAGTATTTGCTGTTATAGCGCCAACAGAAACAGATCATCTGTGGAAATTTCAACTGTCGTACTATCACAGTTCACGAGATACAGCCTGGTAATAGACGACAGAAAGACAGACAGACAGACGGACTGACGAAACGACGGACGGACGGACAGGGAAGTCTTACCCTAAAAACGCACTGCGCAGTAATACTATCAGCAATTATTAAAGTACGTCATGGCCCATTTTAATAAGAGAATTAATAAACTTTACAATAGTTGATTAAAGTAAACAATTGCCTTTGTGATTAGACCACCGTACGTTTATACACATATACAAATAGAATGGCCGAGTGGCGACGAAGCGATTGTGCGTCGATCACATACAATATGTTTGTTTGTAAATCCATTTCCATTGTTCTGGGCTACCTGTACCGCTTGCTATGGGGCGAGGTACGATTACACGATATGTTTGATCTCTTCGATCATACACTATTGTGTGAAATTCCAATAGGCATAGCGAATTGCAATCATCTTCATTAGCACATAATGCTATATGAACACTCCAGAGTTAATGATCTATTCACAAATTAAGCAGTCAATCCTTTAATTCATTCAACAAAGATAAACGACGAAGTGTCCATTTGAAACTTCTATATCATTAAGCGTCCTTCAAATTAAAACCGTATTCGTCTTATTTGTGTATAATAAACGTAGTTATAATTTTTGATTCCATCTACTTTGTTAAATAAATAATGTATTTTCTCTCGTAAAGTTAACTTTTTGGCCGCTTTGCGGCTTCGTTGGCGATGTAGGTTTCCAAAATGCCGGCGCAAAACAACATGAAACATTACTTTAGGTATTTACTGTACGATACAAGCTGAAATTAAAGAAATAATGGAGAAAGTTCCAGACTACCAGATACGTTTGGTGGTAAAAAAACAGTTTCTTCCATTTTCGAATCATGACTCTTTATTTAGCTCTCTTGTAAGTTTATGTACTAGATCTGATACGAAACATTAAAATCCCATTATCAAAAACATTAAAATCCCATCATTTAAGAACAACCTTGACACAGATCCGCGATCTATACAATAAAAGAAACTACAATCAGGCATTCATCTATCAATTTGATAACATTAAAGAAATTTATTAATTCTTATTTTTATCTGTCACACACAAGAACTGATATCGCTATTTATAGCGGATGTACTATAATAAAACGACTTATCAAACATAACATCTTCATGAAAAGAATGTAGACTCTGTGTTATAACTCAAAGTTATTTAAATAAGCACTTTAAAATGCTAATTCCGTTTTGGGTAAACATTAAGTAACGATTTATGAATTTATAATTAATCCAAAGGCAGAAAAGCGCAAAAGCTATTCCAATTTACATTGTAAATCATCTATTTTTTCATTCTCTTTAATCAGCAGCTAAACGGAACTTTAAGACGTTAATACACTCAATATTTTAATTAACACAAATGATTACTAACACTTACGTCCCGGTTTCTGAAACACTAACTCTCTGAATTGGCCAGATGTTTTAGAATCCTTGTGGCAGCTCAAAAAACATTTGAAAAGCCATTTGACACCTGATAAGTTGACATCTACGATGATCAGTGTTTCAGAAACCGGGCGTAATCTATTAATTAGGTTGTGGGTTGTTCCCATATTGTTAAGTAAATAGGAGTTGTGCTTAATCTTATTTTTTGTATTCGGGACATCCTAGTGCCTTTTACTACTATCCAACGTAATGGCCACAAATTTAGATAAACACGTGGACCAACTTTAACAGTAAGCAGGTCCGAACTCCCTTCCCGCTCTGCATAGTTCAGGAACATTGGCTCTTAAGCATTCAGCACAAACAATACAACGCTGTTTCAATTTACACTCGAGCTATAAAAAGCAACGCCCTACAATTTAAATATAGACAATAACATCAGGATGTCCACATGTTTCAACTGGCAAATTTTATCTAATCAACCTTTTCAGTCGCCGTTATTTGTAAACACTTCTACCGTTCGCTTTCCTTAAAACCGCTAAAAATAACACAACCGCGCAATATTGACCTGTTTCACGTTTAATAATAGTTTCCCAAAACAAACATTGTGTTTATTTATACTCGTTTTCTCTCTGAACATAGAAATAATATGTACGCGTTGCTGTCGACTCGAGTATGTACGGTTGCACAAAACGAAATATCATAATCCAGGAACAAGAAGACTTAGTAATTTCTGTATGATTGTTAAACGAAACACCAACCTTAACGGAACCACAACCTTAAACTTTTTTTAACAATTAGCCTGAATGTGCTATACTGGTATAAAGAACGCCAATTCATCGACTACATGCGCATCGCTGTCTGGAAAGGTCAAGGTATAACGCTTACCGTCCCTTATCGGACAACAAGCTTGAACCGTAGTATGTGCATACAAAACAGGATAATTAATACACGCAGCCACCTTAAGAAATTAAGCGAATTAACTAAGATTCGAAAATGGTTATACAGTGGAATCTCGATAACTCGAAACTCGTTAAGTAGAAATCTTTGTAAAACTACTCGAAGCCTATACTCAGTTTTCGACAGGTTACTCAAAGCAGCAGTCACTTAACATTATGTTAAAAATGATCAACTCTTAATCTCTTTTTAAACTGCCTCGGGTTTCTTTCTATAAGGTTTATTCAAGAAAAATTAGTTTATAACTTTTTAACCAATGCTAATAAATTAAATGAATGATTTACGTCAACAAATATTAATTCTCTTACTATTGCATAGCTGTCCCTTTTTAAAAAAAGTAGAAACAATGTTAATTTATGTCGACCTTGTAAGTGTTGACGTAAAAATCCTATTATTCAATATTTCGCTAATTAATTAAAATAATCCATCATTATATCAAGGGGGGTCACGGTCCGTACCTTGATGGCTCGTAGATGACATTCTTCCTGTTTAAAATAATGTGCACAGACCTACCCGAACGCCGGAGGGCAGACACCAAATAATATATAAACAATGATTCTACTTAAAGTTTTTGAAACAGCATGTTTTTAAATCATAGAAATTATGAAGATGATAACATACAACGCATTAGTGGAATTAAGTTTATTTTTCTTAATGATAACTGAGATTGTATTCAAAATAAATTTTTAGACAATGATTGATCGGTCAAATACGTAGATTAGCTACTCAAACTTTGACAGCTGGTCTGGTTCATCTAGGAAAAACACTTTTAGAAACTCGATTTTCTGTTGATCATCCGGTAATCCTTCCGTTCCGTTAGTAGTTAATTGCAAATCAAAATCAAAGTTGTTTTCAGGCATTCTACCAACTCAAATGATGTTGAACCACAATTAACAAGAGATTAATAGTAAATTAAACATTACCTTTCGGAAACTGGGCGCTACTCTTTCATTTGTTCGTCTATTACTTAACCACTATGAATGTACAGGTTTTCATTGAATCATTATACACATGGGAAACATGATTCCAACCTTGTACCTTGTCCTTTATCTACGCCTCGTGTCTTATCTAAGGATTACCTTATTAATTTATATGTATCTTACGAAGTTATGTAATGATAACATACATGAATATTGATATTATGAAGAACTTTATTCATATGAATATTAACAGTTTACTCTTCAGTTTCAACTTTTCACGTAAAGGATGTCAATGATATCCTTAAGATTAAAATATCGAGCATAGAAATCCATAATATATAAACAATAGATCTATAAAATATTTAAGTAAAATCGGCAATCTTCATTTCAATTCATAATTTAGGTTTTGCTTAGTTTTTGGAGTACCTACTTGCCAAATTACTGTCTGTTACAATCATAAGGGGCTCCATACACCAAGGGTAGCGCTTTCCGTTAAAGCTATGCTTGTATTTACGAGGTTTATGTATATATGTATATAGTATGTGACGTAATACACGTACGCAGCAACCGTTTTTTTTTTCTGTCGATCTATAAAATTGCTCCCTTACTAAGCTTCCTGATGCTTTTAAGATTAAAAAAAATCATAGTTATATAGTTTTATTAATTTAATTCACCGACTAGATTTACATCTGAGTTAAAAATTTAACAAAAAAAATTTCTAATTATTTCGCGTTAGTTAATATCAATGAGTCATTGAAACAAATACGCGTAATATGGACGTTTCTATTTTTGAACGGTTAAAATAACGATCGGCGAAAATTTTAAACTTGTTTTGGGAGATGCAGTGATGTGTAGACGGCATAAAAAATGTAGCCGAGTCGCGTCGAGATCAAAGTCACTGCGTACGAAGGTTACAATTAGATACGAGGTCGCGTGTGTTATTGCAAACAACGGACTTTTTGGCCGGGAACAGTTGTCGATTTATTGTGTGAACTTCGCTATAAAGTTTCAATTCGCGTATTTTCTCTACCTTATTCGCTCTATCCTATCTCTACTTAATCTACTGTTGACCGAAATCTTTAGATTAAAAGTTTTTTGAATATAACAGTAGTGAGTTTTAGTACATACACGAAATAGTTGGAGCCATTTAAGCTGTTTCAATGTGAAAAACTAATTAAATGAAAATATTCTGACGGAGCTGGTCGCGTTCGATTTAAATTTGAACATTTATATTAAGCGCGATAAAATGCGTAAAAATAGCTTCCCTTAGCAGTTTGTTTCGACGGTTGGCGTGATTTGAAATTAACTCAATTTATCCAGGCTATTAAGTTCCAGGCACCGTGCCGGGGGCAAGTTTATTTTCCCGTTACGTGAAACCTATCACAACGACCTTGGCAATGGCAATGACGGCCGGCCGCTACATTGATTTTTAATGTCTTGTATTGGGTTAAAACAAAAAATATAAAGATAATCTCGAGTAATGTTTGCAGAGTAATGAAATGGTTGTAGAGTAAATAATACCGAAACTGTAATTTAGTTATTTTTTGTCGCGACCACAACAATTTGACTTATGATCCACGAGTATTCGTTAAAGACATACTCAACGAATTTCAAAGACTTCTTAAAATATTTTGAAAGCTTTTGGAGATGTGCAATTATTTACAATTGCTAATGAGCACAGAGATTGAAGAAAACTTAAACATATTATCTTAGAGTTTTCAGAATTTGAAATTAATGTGAACAAACAATATTCGTCAATAAGGTTTATTCCTTATTGAAAGTATCAAAAGTCCTATTGTACATTAATGTCTACGCATACCGACAGCTTCAGTACTTATTATGTAAGCTGCAATACGTCTGTATAACAATAGATGTTCTTAAACGAGCATGAAAAACGTTTAGCTATTTTTAAAGCTTGCCGATTATTCGCGAAACTATTTATCATCGTGCACAGCTATAAATCGTTTAGCAGCCAATACACAAAGATAGTGGTGCATTTGGCACATCTCTCATCGGTCATACGACGATTTATACTAATTCTCCTCCCGGGTAATAAAATTTCCTTTTTTATATTGCCCTTACTTTAGGATAACATTATCCCCTGTTAAGAACGTTTTACAAACATAAATTTCACGCGGACAAACACCCAGATGCGAAACAACTTTCTGTGTCTTATAACTTGGATCAGAGTTTTATTTAATAAATTTCGTGATAGTTTTTCTGTTTCCTTTTAAGAAAATCAAAGTTTGAATAAAAAAAACAATTCGTAAGGTGGACCGCCTGCTTGTCATCAAAGTTACTTAAAACTGAGTGCAAAATTATTTATAAGTTAACAGTACAACGGTATAACATCTAGAATAACATTTAATATGATATCAGTAAAACCTTACAGCTATAAGAAAACAGTTGACTTTACATTTAATATATATGTCACTTAGCTCAGATTTATTCTGGCAAAAAAATTGACGTACACAAAGATAGATTGCACAGTGTATATGGCGTATGCCGGTCGAACAATTACCATAGGCCGGATTGATCCGTTCTACGTAGTGGCCGTAAAACAGTTTGGCCTATGCTATGCCATAGTGATAGTGTATATATACCGGAGATCAAGTAAATTGGTGTTGCTAAGGGAAATTATCGTTTATACCATCGGGATAAGGATTCAAATCCCACCTGTTGCGACGGACGTGTTGATCCTTCGCCGGATAGTCTCCTCTTCGAAGGAGTAGACGTAATACTCTTCGTTCAGGTCTCGAAGGAACTGCGGCTTCACCAGAACTCCACCGACGACGCTGAAGAGGCGCACGAAGCCCAACGGCGTGAATACTGGATAAAATTATAAGAGTTTTTTTATCTGTGGTAGGGCCACCCAACAGTTCGCTGTTGCACGAATGGGCAGGTCCGTCTGGGGAAGTACCACGACCTAATGAATCATTTCGTCTATTTGGTTCGATTCAAAAAGTGCTTTAACAAACACATATTTTTAGCACAATATCTTTTGTACTAACATTCCATTATCTAGATGAACCTTAGTATGAGGCGTAGGCAGATACTTTCCTAATCCGAATCAACACATCTCATACATCTCAAATGCCGTTTAGATTACTGTTTCAACTGCTTCCAACGTGGTAGGGCCTCGCAGCAGAATTCTCTGTTGCACGAATGGGCCGGTCCGTCCGGGGAAGTACCACGACCTCATAGAAGACCGACGTGCAGTTGAAGTGTTATACTTCTGCGTTTCGTCTGGTGAGTGAGCTAGCCGGGGCCCCACTTTATTAATAGTTGCAACGCGTCTGCAACTCTCGGGTGTTGCAAATGCCCATGGACGGAGGTTATGACTTAACATCTGTGAAAATCGGTGAACTTCCAACTAGCTTACCACCTTCTTACTTCACACTAAAAAATTCACTTCAGATTTATATCGATTGTTCTTTAATTTTTACATGCCTATGCAGTTGTTCCACATTCATTTTTAACATTTTATGAAAAAAAAATACTTCCTATTGTGCGTTCATTACTTTTAATCTTGTATTTATATTGACACTTTTTTATTTGCCCAATAACATGTATAATATTTGCGCCTGTCTGATAAAGGGAAACCTGTTTTAAGCGACTTATATCGATACGGAACGTGCAAACCCTGTTTGCATGACACATATTTTTATTTAATTTTCCTTTTTTACTATTTCACGTAACCAGTTTGAAGACTATTTGCACATAAACTTTTTTTTCCATTTAATTCAGTTTGTCATAAGTTTTACCGTGGCAAATATTTCGAACTTTGATTTAAATGGCATAATTTTCTGCTATAGGTTAGCATAATGTATTTAAAGCTAAATCTTTCATATTTGTTCAACCGCAGGGCAAAAGCCGCCCACTTCCCTTTTCCAGGCACTCTATCTGGCTAAATATCAACTTCATCCAGCCAACTTCTTCGGGATCTTACACATTGTCTCCAGCTCCTAATAAGGTAAATAAGAGTAAAGCTATGACAGCACCATGGTGTACACTCAAGGTGTACCTTAGTTGAAGATGAGATCATCTGTTGCATCGTAACGCTCAGTGAAAATGCCGTTTCTAATGCATTACGTAATGTCCTATAGATTTCTTCTTATACATTTCCTTACAACATTTACTCTCACACAGCAAAAAAAACCGCTAACATTTTTCACCGGAAACATGTATTCGTACTTAGCGAAACTTGTCCCGCCGTACTTAGGAATTTATATATACATAATATATTATAGTATGCACCCATCAAAACATCATAATATTTCACTTGAGGTTTCTCTAAGTACAATAGTTACCATAAAACGGTAAATATGCTATAAAAGGTATTATCGCTTAATTTATCAAATTTTTAAAACAATGAAATTGTAAACGCAACGGAAAAATAATTTGTCATCAGCTGTTTTTTAACAAATGTGGGAGTATTTAACGTTATTATTAGTTTTATTAAGTCAATTTAAGCACATTTTTATTCGATAAGCTATAGGCTTTAATAGGCTAATGTTTTAAAAGTTCCTTTTTACAAAATCCTTAAGGTTTAATATAATGACAACAAAGAATCAATTATTAAATTTCGTATCAAACCTGTCCTAGTAAATAGGTCAATGTGTTATACGTAAGACAAATCATATTTGTGGGTCAATGTACATTATCAGTTCTAGTGATAATTAACACGTTGACATAGATAAACGCGTGAGCATACAACACAAAGAGTGTTCTGTTTTCATATATAATATATGCTGTTTCCACCCATAATCTTATTTTACCACGGTTGCGCCACGCAAATGCTTCTTCTATCACAAGAAGGGGCAAAATTATACGATTAACTACCGCATCCATACAGAAGACCACTGAGAAGAACAACTTCCTTAATCGGAAACAAAGTCCGACTTTCTGAGTACGGCTGTAGTCAATGTAGTTCGTCACGAAATACCCTTTTAAAAACCACGCTGACGCTAGAAGACGTCACAAATGTACGTTAAATACGTTCAACGGAACTTTAGAATTATAGATGTGTATTAAATGCGATCGCTCACATCGTTAGACATCCGACACGGTGGGTGCATATTACGCGTTCTTTTTCATCACCACCCAAGTGTGGTGGCACCCTTATCTGTTTCACCTCGACAACCGTAACTATGGCAATTGGTACGTCAATGTAACAATCAAAAAATAAAACCAAGCCACTGCGTAAAATATGGATTTGAATAAGACATTATCGACTCCGGCTTTGAAGAGTTCGAAGGAAATTGAACTCAACGAGGAGTGGAACAACTTCATGAAGAGAATCGGCGAAGTGAGCAACTTAGTGAGGGACATCGCGAGCGGTGACAAAGAAAAATCTGACGCAGCCTCGGCGCTAGCGGAACAGTACTTGGAAGGGAAAATTATTACAGATGAAAACGCAGAAATGAAGATCAAAGAGGACAGAACTGTTATTAACCGAAAGGCGTTGGAAAATATTGGCCACAATGAATCAGTAAGTCAATTATGTCGTCGTCGGTATATAAATGATGATGTAGATGTGGTTCAATTTAATTGTGACTCTAACTCAAATTTCCTAGGTAGACAGTTATTAGACTTCATTTAAAGTTGAAGAGTGAATTAATATTAAAAGACAGTTATAGTAATGGCTGAGATATCAACTTATTATTTCAGTTTACATCTCCGATTACTCGGTCACAGACTTTACATAAATGTCTTAGCCTTATAATTGCGTCTTATCAGCTCCCACACACAAACATAGTTCCGGCAAAACATAGAACGCTGGTTGCCTATATTTACCCATTTAAAAACACGTAATAGACTGCTCTTTCTATTTGACAGTATCATAGATTAGCACGGGCGTATTGTTTTCTCTGATATGATGCCAAATTTTATAAACGTGTTCTGCACTTGACGCTTTGCAATACCAAGTGCTATATTGCGTCCTTTTATCGATGTGCACATTTCTAAATGCACGTGTAACGTATTTTTATAATTAACGTGATTTAACCTGCGCGCGTGTGTGGAGCGGACTATTTCGGTCCGATAAAAACGTTTTAATGCTAGAGTGTTTTATTTTCGATAGCTCTATGTTTAGCCGCGGCGGCTGATAATGGCGAGGCAAAAATAGATTGGACAAGTGAATTATATCGGAAGAAAACGATAAATGAATAGAGTGCTTGAGTGACTCACGTAATAACCACACAGTAACCCACACATATCCCACGTAACGTAACATTCCCGTAGGAACAGTAGCTTGTGCAGGTTCTAAGTCCTATTACAGCTTTGCACAGTCCTTGAGACTGAAATCGAAAACATCATCGTACAGCGACGAAGACAAAATTGTAGATAAATTGTAAATTCGTTCGGTTCATATGCGTTGCCAGCTTTATGACTTTGACTACTTTCCTCGGCAGGAAAAACAGAAATATATCACGAGCCTGTGTTATATTCCTTCATACTACGACAGTAAAAATATTACATCATATTTTTTTTATGTGAAAAGTTGTCAAGCGTGCAGACGATTCACCTGATGTTCAGTGAATACAGTCTACCGCTGCGTGGCCCTACCACGCTTTGCTAAGATATATAATAACTAATGTAACTAAATTACTAATTTAAATCTAAACGCGGTAGGCCTTAGGTTTAAGTTAGTAATAAAGTAGTAAAGTAACTATAAAGTTTGACGACCCGATTGACGTAGTGGGTAGTGACCCTGTTTCTTGCACCAGAGCGTGTGGGTTAGATTCCTACTACTGGATAAATATTGTGTGATATATTCATGTTATGTATTTATTTACAAAAGAAAAGTATGTTAAGGTATATAATTATGTGTATCAGTCACCTACCCTTAGTACGAACGTTGCTTAGTTTGGGACTAGAATTTTGTGCAAAAATGCGTACAGGGAGGGGATCGTCCTAATGGGGATTGGCGAACTTCACCTATCCTCAAAACATTTTTATTGTTAATATTTAGAAAATATGCAGGTTTCCTCACGACTTTTTCCTTCACCGCTGATTCCATGATAATTCAGCACTTAAAATTAACAATTTTATTGGTGCCGGCACCGGTAATCGAACTCAGGTTGCTCGAGTATATAGAATTAAAAACGAGTGCCCGGACAATGAGTTATCACGAGCCGTGATAACTCATTGTTTGTATTGTTGGGGATGTAGGTGAAACTAATTTTTATTTTTAGTTCCAATCTCAGTAAAAAAAAGAATTACAATGTGTAGATTAATTATCGAAAAATTTTTCACCACTGACGTCAAGATTTTCGTGCGGAAAACGTAGGTGTGATTGTAATCGTTTGATCGCATAAATTTTGTGTTCAATGAATGTGCATTTTGCCAGTTAACAGCACGGACAGAAGACATTCCACAAATAGGTAGTTCGCCTGCCCGGTAGTAAGTAATGCTGACCTAAATAGCTATGTAACGAGATACAATTAAGGAGAGAGATACCTTAAACACCCACATGATTCGTGTTTAGTTTCGTTTTCACATAACATACTTTTCAAAGGACTACGAAAATAGAAAATATTTTCAAAAGCTACAAGACTTCAAAGAAAGACTACTCGTATATTATTATTCGTCAAAAATAAGAACGAAGCCCACATAATCTCTTATTTGTTATAGCAATTCGACCTACACACGTCCACAAACATATAGAGAGATCTAATATCGGCTGCCTGTTAAAGAGAGTCGTTATAAAGCAATTATATAATATACAAATACGAGATAGATATGACACTGGCGCATCGAAACTGAGGCACTCAAATTACACCGATTGGTGTAATTAGATTGCCATTCTATAGTCTGCTATTTCTTTCCGTATCATACATACTATGTCATCTTCACATTAACTTATGTCATATAATGTAAAGCGGAACAATTTTTAAACCGCGCGAAGTATGGACGCATCATCTTCATTAAAACGTCACTGTTGAAAAAGGAAACTTTCCGTTTTCAAAATTTTCTAGAGAATATATATAAATAAACTAGCGGACCCAACAAACGTCCTGTACACGCGTCTTAAATCCGACAACAACTTGTAAATAAAAAAAAAAAACGAATTGTGAATCTAAACCATTTTCGAATCGACCAGAAGACACACAAAAATTTCATTAAGATCGGTCATCCTTAGGTTTGGGAGGGGTTCAGTGACATACACACGTGTGTGTATGTCACAAGCAAGCACACACGTGAGAGCCGTGATAGCTCAGTGTCCGTGCGCTCGCCTTTAGTTCAATATACTCGAGCAACCTGAGTTCGATCCCCGGTGCCGGCACCAATGAAATTGTTAATTTCAAGTGCTGAATTATCACGTGCTCAACAATGAAGGAAAACATCGTGAGGAAACCTGCATATTTTCGAAATAATAATAAAAAAATGTTTCGAAGATATGTGAAGTCCACCAGTCCGCAGTGGGGCCGCGTGATAGACTATGCCCTGATACCCTCTGTACCTTTGCCCAGCTGTGGGACATGTATAGGCGGACAATTTACTTTTTATACACAAGTGAGAAAATGCATAATCGATTCCAGGGCGAGATGTGCAGGGAGGCTTGGATGGCTGAGGTGAGCAAGGATGCCGAGAGACGTTTCCAGGATCGGAAAGTGCGCCGCGAGAGGATGGAGACCCTCAAGACACAGGCCACAAAGGCGTTCAGACGCGGTGAATACGAGAAGGCCCTCTCCTGCTACAACCGCGCGATAGAACTGGTCAAGGACAATCCAATGTTGTACTGCGACCGCGCCCTCACCAACATCAAGCTAAAGAGATTTGAAAAGGTATTTGGAACTTGATAGAGCCGCTTTAGAGCTACCCGTTGGCGTCGCAAATCTTACAGCGGAACAGGGCCGGATTTAGAGGTCTGGAGGCCTCGGAGTTGAGGCCCCCAAACTGCCTTTTGATATTTAACGTATCATGTTACTTCAATCATGTTTGTACAAAGTCCTGTAGGTAAAGGTAAAACGCGAAAAAAAAATTAAAGGAAAAGTTGTTTACTAGTCTTATTGCCCTCCTCTTAAGTCGGCCCTGACAGAATGAATGGGGAATTCAAACCGGCCAGAGAACAATAATAAAGGCAATTAATGTCTCTTCGTTACATCGTCGCTCAACAAATTCATCTACAAAAACATTTTTACAAAAAACGAAAACCGACTTCAAATATCACGTTTCTATGTGTTTTTGGGTAATTTCTAGATGTATCTCCGAAATCCAAATTCCAATATCGATGAAATTAATATAGGACCACATAGTAGCTAAGCCGAACCCAACGCAAAAAGAATTGTTTAAATCTATTCTTAAATGGCGGAGTTCTGAGCAAATAAACAAAAAAAAAATAGTAATGAATTATTGTGAGAACCAACCTCCTCCGTTTTTGAGTTCGGTTGAAAATTTTATACGTGACGGTAAGCGATCACCAACAACATCAGAAGAGTTTGTCATAGTTCATTAGCTGCTCCCTTAATCCCCCGAGTCTTTTAGATCCAGAAATACGGCAGAACGCATTGCACAAGGTAGTCGTGTACAGTAGAAATTTTCTCAAAAGCGCACAATCGTGGTCCGATTCCTCCGAATCATACCCTTTAAAGATACTGCTGTGTTTTAATTATGATAGAAACTAGAACCGTTCTAAAACCCTAAAATATTTCTAAAGGCGAATCGAAGGAAACGTGTAACAATAATAAACATGGAGATAGCGGCCATTTATCATACCAATCGAAGCGTAAACTAAAAACATTATACGCGGCTGCGGTGTACGGTTTATATTTCATAGTTCAATATTGACTATTTATAGATCCGTCTCGTACCTATCCGATACTTCAACAGGCCGGTCTGACTTTAAGCAAGGGCGAGGTCTAACTTACGCTAAACGATTACTGAGTGAAAAATTTACGAATAACTGTTTACCTGTTTACAGAACAATGACAGGCGGCCAGGCATAATTTATACAGACAGTAGGACTGGCATATGTTTCACTTTATGTCAAATAACAAGTCAAATTTGACCCAAAGTATAAACTTATTTATTTCGGTATATCATCCTCTCATTACCCTATATACTATAATACAGTAATGACCTTTTTAATAAAAAAGTATCGTTGGCTTTGACTAAAGATGATTCTAATGGTTTGGCACAACCAGTTTTGATAAAAAAAACATAAGGCGTAAATGTACTGTTATGAAGTCAACAGACTGTAGACTAAAGTACAGTATTCTGTGTTCGTGACGATAAGTTCAATATTACACGTTTACTTCGTTCTGAATGCTCTGAATTATACAAAAAACTATGCTAGCAGATAAACATCTAGTCAATGCCGTACCTACATTACATATACGTAAATGCTTTTGTATTATTAGCGTATGAAATAATTGACAATTGTAAATATTCAATATGCCAATATGTAAAATCTATTTTTAGGTGTTCCATGACTGCGACTGGGCGTTACGTATAAACGAAAAGAGTTTTAAGGCGCGCCTGTACAAAGCCAAAGCTTACAAGGAGCTGGGGGAAACTGAGAAATATGAAGAATGCCAGCGAGAGTTGGACGAAATGTTCCCGCAACATCGAGAGCTATCTAGTTATTTTCTTAACAAAAGTGAAGATCTTGAAGATTAGTAGATTGCAATTCTATTATTTCATACTTTATTAATTTGTTTAATAATATTCAACCTTTGAATTGTGACGATATTTGAAGATTAGAAGTTTATTTCTTTCCTTGTGTTTTGATGATTGCAATTCGAGTATTTTATACAATTTGTTTAATAAAATTCACCCTTCGAATTGAAACGATGTCTTCTGGTCTCTTAAGAAACCAGACGTTATTTGATAGTGGTTTATCGAGTTTAATAAACTAATATAAGGCTTTTCTTAGTACCAACGCCTCGACTGTGCGAACGTGACACAAATTATTTCGCAATACGCATTAAATTTAAAATAATTACGACACAGGCAAGCAAGTATTCAGCTGAAGTACGTGATTACCTTTAATTTTTGGGTATAAATGTAAACGAATACACATCAGGGATGTCTTATTGTTCTCAAATATATCTCAAAATAATGTTTTTATATGCGGGGGGAAAAAGTAACATGAAGTAATTGATTTTTAGTTATACTCATGGATTATTATTGGGGATCTAGTAGCCCTTACAAACGTTTCGTCTGACAGTGATCTAGTGGTAACTTTGAAATAATTAGATGGAAGTATTTTTCAGTAAAAGGAAGTTTATTTCGAAGAGCACTAATATAATATAGAATGGATAATATTATACTATATTTTTTTCCAACTTATTGAATGTAGTAATCATCTATTGTTTGGTGATTGAAAATATGAGGAATTAAGGTTAATCTCGACTGGGAATATCGTCGTCAAGAAGTGCCTCAATTGTTATTTAGGCTGAGGTATTTTTAAATTGTTAAGCGAGCAGTCGGTTCACCGGTTCGTATCTGCAACACCTGAGGATTTGTATATAATATTGCGTAGTATGGTGATGCATCGATACATAAAAACATCTTTTAGGAATAATAAATTTGTCACGATTATATAATTTACTATTAGCTATATGTAACGGTGGTAGGGCCACGCAAGTCTTCGCTGTTGCACGAGTAGGCAGGTCAGTCCGGGTAAGTACCGCGACCTCACAGCACAGAAGACCGGCGTGATGTAGAAATGTTATACTACTACGTTTCGTGTTGGTACTCTGGTGAGGTAGCCAGGGCCCACTTCATTAAAAGGTGGTACCGCATCTCAAAGCCTACTGGTGTTGCAAGAGCCAATGGGCGGCGGTTATCACTTAACCTTAGGGGAACCGCCAACTCATTTTCCACCTACTCACTTAAAAAAAATATTCAAGTAATTTACTATTTAGGATATATGAAAAAACGATTTCCATGTTATATTACAGTAGAATCTCAATAACTAGAATGTAACAAAAGAGTTTCGAGGTAGAAGACATTTAATTGCTAAAATTTCGACACAGAAAGACACAATTTCAAAGTACCTATATCTTTCGAGTTATAGAGTTGTAGATAAATAAAATTCGACATAAGTTTTAGTGTACAAAAAACTAAACTTTAAACTGTACAAAAGCTTACCAAAAATCAATTATCTACGTTTAATTTAAGAGCTTTGCAGATTTTTTTATTAATTATTTTGCATGTTCAAATATGTGATCCTCGATATCAAAACCATGAGTTAGTCGTTAGTTTCTGTTTAGTATTCATGATGATGCCAAATAAGTACTGACCGATAGTAAACTTATTTTCTGGCAATGAGTCCAAACATAAACAATTATAAAGTACATATATGTGTAAGTTTAATGCATAAAATTGCTTGTGTACATAGTACACAAACGGACAAAAGCACTTACCTTTTGGACTTTATTGCTATGAGTGCGTAAAATGCAATGACTTACAGAGTCTGCATTTTAAAATTCGAGTTAAAGAGTATAAATATGTACTGTACTATCAATACCACATAATATTTTGTATGACTTAACAAAGTCTAAGAACTTGGGATATCGCGTATTTATATGTTGAACGGAAGGGAAGAGCAATTTATCTCGTCTTCCTGAGGATTTTGACTGAACAAGGTTCAAGGTATAGAGATTCCGCCGTAAATTAAATGACTCCCTAGTTTCTTTGAAGTATATTATCTTACAATTAACTCGACCATTTATAATGTACAAAAAAATCGATTCATACATGTCGTTGCTTTAAGGATTACAACTAACTTACCTACTATTTATATATCTATTTTATAATCATCACTTTACTGCTTTTGATTATCGGAAATATTACGACATATTGAGATAACGATTAACGGAAACAAATACATGCGTGTTGAATTTAACGTCACAACAACACGTGGATCACAATGATTAATCTGATAGAAATGATAATAAAGGTTTTTGTCTAAACATATACTTCAATGGCCGTTTAGACCAGATCTGTCAACAGCTTATGGAGACCCTAAAGACGGGCGGATGTGGGGGAGAGGTATGTCAAGCTTGAAGCCGAATGAAATGAAACTACTAGAAGCACTGAATTATGCTTTGGTCATGAAATAAATTTTTGAGCCTTGACATATTGTTGCATGTCTGTAATATATTTAGAGACTTTAAAAATCGTTATAATATATATAAAGTGTTTTCATTACAGCCAAAACACTTCATATAAAAAACGAAAAACATTAAAACAGATGACTTACCGAGTAACATCAAAACACCAACAAATGAAACGCAGGAATACAAGAACGGTAAGTAAGTCCATAAATCTGTGGACAATAAACAAAAGTTAAATATGTAGTAACAAATTTTCAATTAAAATAATATTCCTAACAAAAAACAATAGAAAGGGTGGCCATAATATTTCACTCAAATTTTTACACAAGTTCCAAAGTAGTGTAATGAACAAAATATTCATATATTGTCTACCTTTTAACACACAATTATTATAATAACAGCATTTCTATGCAAATAATAGCATGATAAAAGAATATAATTCTTAATATAAACTACACATAAGCTATAAAGTAGTTATTTTATAGTATGAAAATTATAAATAAGTAATATAATATAAGTAATAAGGTACAAATTAATAACCTTAAAATGTTACATGAAATATAATTATGTCAAAAAAATCTTAATTGTTTACTGATTTTATTTTACCCCAATTGTTTATTAATTTTATATTACATACTTAGCAAAGCTTCAATACTGGATCGGTCTCCTTCTATCCATGCAGATATCACATATGCCAAGCCTAGCATTGCCACACCAAGCAATGCCAGCACTATGAATGTCTCATAAACACGGCCACGCAGTCCCCTGCAGCCTGGGAACCCAGACGACTCGGAGAACAAATATGCAAATGGCAAGAATACAAACAATGAAAGGTTTGAGAACAGAAAGACGTGATTCCAAAGTCCTGAAACAAAAAAATTATTCAAAATCAGAGAATATAAAATATTGGACCAATTAAAATATGTATAAAAAGATACTAACCTTGTATAAGAGAGCTATTGAGCCACTTAACATAGTAGCTATCTGGGTACAAAATAAGCACTTCATTGCTGACTATTGACACTGGCAGCAGGAGTGCTGAACCCAATGAAACGGCTAGAGCAAATGTACATAGCCAAAGACTGATCCGATAAACTTTTACTTCCTCCTCGTCAGCTGTAAAATAATCTTCACTGTCTCGACGTCGATACTTCTCAATCAACGTAAACGAGAGAAGATATAGCAATATAAACAACAGAAGAAAAATCTAAAACAAATTTAACGAATACTCAAATTATTTAGAAATAACGCTTAAAATAATAATATGATATGAACAATCTTAATGAACTTACGATTTGCTCCCGAACATTATTGTGAAATATCTGTTCACGTAAATCAGCCTCCTCATCATCCATCATTCAGCATCCAATTTTTTTTTATCTTTTAACAAAGATTTTAAAAGGATGCCCCACATTTATATACTTCTGCATCTTAATGTCACCGCATTCGAATTGATGAATTAAAAATTTTCACATTTTTAGTTAATTTAAAATTATACTAACACAATTAACAAATTATTAGTTGATCACAAAAAAGCTTTATTTCACACAAATAACACCGATCGATGAGTGATACACAAACACTACAAATTTTTTTGTAATTGTAACAACAGCTGAGATAGACTGTCTGACAAGCAATGGTAGGGATGCCGAAAAAATATCGATATATCGATATTTTTGGCCGAATATATATTGATCCCATATATCGATATAAAAAATTAAATATCGAAATCGTATCAAAAACGATATTTTGGTTCAAACTGATTCAAAACCGTAAAAAGACAAAATGAACGGAAAAAACTGTGATTTAAATGGCATCAACTAAAGTTGCTTTAATTTAATATGTAAATAAAGTTAACAAAAATTTAATTATAATTCTCAATTTAATTTTATTTGATGTCATAAATACTGTTATCATTCATGCGGGTTTCTTTTTGACCCATTATTAACTTCGTTTTAAACAATTCTTTAAGTTACGAATACATGTTTTTTTTATTAGTTATTTTTTGATTCGTTTCAGGGCTAAAGAAATTGATTTATATGATTAATGAATATTGATTTCTCATTCATTTAAATAATGTAAATTTGGTATAAAAATTACTATTACTTAATATTGAATCAGACTGAACTAAATATATTTATTTTTTAAAACTGAAAATTTGACCGATATATCGATATTTTTTTTCGATATATCGAGGCCGATATTGATATTTTTATAAATATCGATATATCGATATTTTTTTCGACTTTCGGCATCCTGCAATGGGCTATTAGTTAGTTACAATTACAATTTGACAAATGTCATGTTGACAATTAACAAAACAGACAAAGCAAACGTTGAATTCGAATGTTATTTGTTTGTTAACTCTTGTCTATGCCCCATTCATTAAAACTCTAGTTAGGTTTATACAAATTAACAATATACGGCTTTAAGCTGGTTTATAAGATTTTTGTTTTTCGCCTTTTTTTGTTCGTCTTCGTTTTTTTTCTTTTTCTTTCTCTTTATTTATGTATGGCTAATGTCCCATGACTAATGACCATGTTACTAATTACTAATAAGTTGTTTTGTTCCTCTCTTTACAGGTATGGAACTGAAATTTGTTTAATACAGTAGGTTATTATTGTCATGTCCTTAGCCTAATCGATGTCCAAGTACCAAGTTGTTCGCAAAATCACTGACGTATCAGTGGAGCCATAGTAGAAAAAAAAATCGTTGAATTCATACGGATATTGTACTCTAGTTTCCTTTTTAGTAAAATTTCTTCGTGGGCATTCGGCCCGTGGTATAAAGAGAAATAACGTAGCTGGTGCACGAAAAAGATACGATGAGTCCGTTAGTATCGATCCACTGAAACTCTTTGACTTATGTTATCCAGAGATGTGAAATTCACAAAAAAATAAAATGGGGAGCACGATACAATTCCATGGAGATTTGAACTGTAGCTTGGTCTACAAACAATGATAAAACATAATATTTCCTCAATTAAGAACTTAATTGCAAAATAATCATCAGAAACAAGCCTAGGTTGAACAGTCCACTACGGACTGGTTTTTGCCGGGTAGAGTTTGAAGAAGCTCGCAGAAAGCAATTATAGTGGGGTACATAATGGACTCGGTGAGTATCTAAGTCTCCTAGCATGGAGGCAGGGAGGTGAGTACACACAATACAAAAATATATAAGTATGCTTTAATTAATTCTAACACTCAACTACGAAAACGCCCAAAACATATATTTTTTGTGTGAAACTAAATAACACTAATTAAAAACGTTAATAGTTGTGAATTAAGCAATTGACATCGCAATAATTTACATAGATCTTTAAAAAGGCGTAATCGCAACGACCCACGTAAGTTGGTAGGGCCGCGGACTTACTTGTTACTTGTGTAGTGGATGGGGTTGCATGCTAGTCGAACATAACAGACGAACTGCAGAAAAGTGTGCGGTTGTGTTGCTACAGTGAAAACTGCGCGGCCCTACCACAGTCAAACTTTCTCGTCGTCTGTAAACGCTGTGCTACAATCTGGCAGATCTAGATTGTACTTATATTATTTTTACATATATTACCACTTATACAAAAAAAAATCATACCTCACTTCACACAGTACCAGTTTTAGTAATATATATTTAATAGTTTGGGGAAAAAGTTTCTTCGTATTTTATGTAAAAATTCAAATCATTTTTTAATAAAGTTTATTTACATTTAACTAAAGTATGTAGGTGCCATTTTGTTCGATAACTTTCTGCCATCTTGTAGTTAGGGACATGATCCCATTGCTATAGAAATTCTTGGGCTTCTAATAAAAAAGTGGTTTTGGCAGTCTTGTGATGTCAATCTGACACTGCCCAAGGAATTCTGAAGAGACCGAAACAAGTGGAAATCTGAAGGTGCAAGGTCAGAACTATAAGGCGGATGCATTAACTCCTCACAACCAAACTCTCTTAATTTTTGCTAAGTGGCTAAATATGTGTGAGGTCTAGCGTTATCATGATGAAAAACCACGCCCCTTCTGTTGATCCATTCCGGCCACTTTCTCTCAACTTCTTGCTTTAATCTCATCAGTTGTTCGCAGTAGAGTTCAGAAACAATGGTCTTGCCTCGCGGTAACAGCTCATGATGTATAATGACCTTCCTTTCCCACCAAACACACAGCATTACCTTTTTGCCAGATAACCCGGGTTTCGCCAGAGTCTGTGAAGCCTGACCAGCCTTTGGCCTCGACCTTTTACGCTCGCTTTTGTCGTTCCTAATCCACTTTTCATCACCAGTTATCAGGTTTTTCAAAAATGGTTTGGTTTCATTACGTCGTAATAAAGAATCACCAATGAGTACATGGTTCAATAGGTTTCTGTCAGTGAGCTCATGAGGCACTGAAATAACGAGCTTTTTTGTTTACAAAATAACAGCCTGTTATTTCATACTATGTTGTGACAATATGTGTAAATGTTACTTTAAGGTATCCGTACTTCTCTTTCAAAATTAAAAATTAATTCAAAGCTATAATAAGATCGATGCAAGAAAATGTTAAAATGTTATCTCGAGATACCTGTTACCATAAATACGCCTCACTCCTAGTGTCAAAGTAATTTCCAAAGAGTAAAGTTTAAGAGAAAGAGTGGCAACTCTATGATAAAAATTGGATCTATGGAAAGTGCTGCCGCCTGGAGTTTGGTTGAGTAACTTCATCTATACACACATTGACAGTTTTAAGGCCAATGTGTGTGTATACTTATTATGCCTACCTATACATATTATATGCTTCTATATTATGTGATTTCCTATTCACCAAACCAACTGAAATGTTTATTTTTTTAGTAAAGACTATAACACAAGGTTTTTAAGATATTTTAATAACTGGTACGGATTTTTTTAAATATGCTAAATAATTGAAATTGTCTACTAAAGGTAGCAAAGCAAAGGATATTTTCTTTCCATTTTTGAAAATGGCCCCCCTTAGCTTTATCCTGGAAGTTTTCTCAAATTGGAACACATTACGCATTATAGAAGTACTATTGGGTTCTAGGAAAAAAAATATTATTGCTTATATTACATTGACTGAAAATTTTCATTTATATAGAAGATGTGTACATTTTTTCTATTACAACCATGACAACAAGTTTATATCTGTTCTTGTAATTGGGGTTTGAGCATAATGGGAAAAAATAACTATAGTGCAAAATTAAATAAATAATTTTATTTTATCTTTAGAACAGTCAATTTGAACAGTAATTCTATTGTTTCCATTATAAACAAGTTTTCCTTCTAGTATTCTATTTACAGATCTGCACCAACTATAAACAATTGTATTAATGGATATAACAATATAACATTTCTTTAAATTTTCCTCACAATCCTTGAAGGCAAAATAAGTAAAAATAAGAGATGAAAGCTTTCTTTTATATATTTTTTTATGACAATCATCATTTAAAAATGCAATTGTTATTTATTGTATTTCTTGAAAACAAGCCACTAAACATTCAGCTGAATAGCAGAGCCATTTTTTATTTTGACTTTATTCTTTGGCCTTAATATATTTATACAATCCATTGCCAGTATTGCTTGTCCTTACATTTTTTGCATCCTTTGACTACTTTCTGTAAACATTTCATCAAGGCCCACCCATAGACATAAGTTCTCTGATCAGTCCTGGAATCTAAAACATTTCTTGTTCTTTTCATAATAGTCAGAGGCTGATCAATAACAATATTTTGGGATTTAAAGGGAGCCTTATTAAATTCTTTATTCTTAATAAAAAAAGAGAGTGGCTGCAAACAATTGTTTAAATCTCCTTCACAATTTGAATGAATCGAGTGATTGCTACTGAAATTATTTAATAAAAGTGTTTTAAATGCTCCCTCAAATCCCAAACAGTTAGGTGCAATATTCTGAGCACCCAAACTGCGAATACTTCCAAAGAAGTTTTCTAGTGGGTCTTGATTAAAATTGTGTGCTAGTATGGCGTCAAAGGAATATTTTTTAAACAATAATTGCCACAATGTTGTTCGATGATATTTGATGATTGTTCTCATTAAATTATTTACAGTTGGTACAGATTTTTCAATTTTCTCGCCATCACTTTAATTATATATATTTTATAATTATATAATTTTAATTTTTTTTTGGTAAAGTGAAATGCTTACACATTAATTTGTAACTTTTAGGGCTTTTCTTGTACAAAGAGAGAGTCAATATTTTTTTGTCAAGAGTGAATCTATACCCTTTTTTTCTTCAGTCCTTCCATGAATTGCATCCTGGTTAATAGCTTTGCTGACTCCAACATGTTCTGAGATAATTTTTCAAAATCACTTTTTAATGATGACTTCTTTACCTGCCTAAGAAGTGACTTGAGACTTGACTTGTTGGTGCAATGTTCTTATTTCACTTTGCATCTTTCTTACTTTTCTTGCACACCAAGTCTTAGACGTTTTGTGCAGATACCCGAACATTTTATCTGAAAGATTATATCAAGAATTAATACATTTAAATAGAATTAAGATTTAATAACACAACAATGTTTTAATATGTATTAACATGTAACAAGTATCCAGCTATGAAGATTATTTATTAACCATATCTGTGACAAATTGAATTCATGGAAACTAAGGTGATGCATTTACATAAGCACTAGAAAAGTCACAATTAGTGGAATGGTTGATTGATCGCAATTTTACATACAAAAAATAGAACCCTTATAGGAGTGATTAACTATCTTTTCTGTGTCTCCATCTTTTAACAACTTATTTTCTCTAAATCTACGATGACCAATCAAGATTTGTAACACTGATTGTATTGAGTATTAGTTAGTCAAATATAATGAAAATATATGGTTAAAAAAAATTAAAAATTAAAAATATTTTGGCACTACACCCAAATTTGTCACTTATCTTAAGTTATTATATAAATATATAAATAAATAAGTTATTTCTTTGCCTGGGCTAATCTTAAATTCATTTTTATATCTTAAGGAAATTGTTTTGCAATATCCAAGTACCTTAGGTTATTTCTACTTCATAATTATAGTTTGGCTAGTTTCTCTATGGATTAAAAATATCTTTTGTTAAAAACGCGTTTGCCTCTATTGTTAACAATTACCGTACATAATTATAATTCCTAGAAACTTGTAAACTTATTCTTTTTAAGAAATAAATATAGAAAATTGTATTACCTGCACCAAAATTTTTTGAAGATTTTTGATTATCATGGTTCTCTTTATTTGAAGTTGTAGAACTAGATGGCATTTGACATTCAGTGGGGCCACCTAGTGACACTTTACATAGAGAAGTTCCAGGAATATTCCCGATTGTGAATATTCTCTTCTTGGACAGGAGTAACTATGGTCAATTTCAACAAATGTTAATAGTGATTGCTGCACACCTGCAAAATAACATTAAAATATTTTTATTTATTTTATAATATTATTGTTGATATCATAGTTACTAGTTTAAGCAGACTTAGAACACAATATTATAGTTCATCTCATATAGTACAACCCGTTCAAGAGAAACTGACATACAGATGTATGTGATTCAGCTAGTGCTGGCTTGGCCAGGTAAAAACATGTCGTAGTGTGTTGTCCTACCCATCCAATATTAACCGAAATTATCCACCCAAAATTATCTGGAACTTTTATATTGGATTTTGTTAGGGTTTCGGATATACAATATGGTTATGGCTAAGAAGGCCTATAGCAATCTTGTTATGGGCCAATATCAATGTACTAAGCCAATAGATGTTTGCAATTATTAAAAATTTATAAAGTTAGTAGACTTTTAATGTCAAAATTTTAAAAAAATGTTTTAATGTCACAAACAAAAAGAAAGTCAGAATTATTTAATAACATATTGTATAATATTTAATCAAATTTCGAATCAAAAATCAATGTTACACATTATAATATTTACAAAAATGTTTTAAATATTTCAAACCATTTGTTTCTTTATCATTATTGTCACGATATCATATGGACCGCCAACTGCCTGAGAAGAAGAAGAATCAAATTTCACTTACGATTCAAATTAATGGTTGGTATTGATTGTTGACTAACTAAGACGACCTCCGGTAGTCTTATACATTGAATCAAAATGGTTATCACATAACCTTTTATTTGCATATATTTTCTTAGGATCAGTTTCTATATGTTTGTCTCCAATAGCTGACACCCAGGCAGTAAATAAATCACGACGCTTCTCAGGATTTGGAAATCGGTGTTGGGGTACACCGTGTGCAACTTAAATAGGAAACATTTAATTAGTATAAAGAACATATATTAATGTATAAATAGGTATTTTGAAATAATGATAGTTGAAAGCCTCACCTAAAGCATCACAACCTAAAATACAATATTTTTTCGGAGGTTCACTCATCTTAACAATAGAACGAAGTTCAACAAAATTACCAATTATGAACAACAAAATTCAACAAAACAATGTAACGATAAACAAGAATATTAATAATAAACAGAAAGATGACGGTTTTAACAAAATAACAAAATTTTACTGAGTTACAGTTAACCAAAAGTTAACCTCTATATGCATCAAACATCAACAACACGAATGCAGCAAAATGAATGAAGTTTGACAAGCTCTAGATAGGACAAAATGGCGGCTAAGCTTTTATTGTTTCCACCAAACTCCAGATGTCGCTGTCGAACATAAAATTTGACATTGTTCTAAGTGAGCCCCCCCTGGTCATTTCACAAACAAGTGTCAAGCATTTAAATTTAAAATTATTTTATTTATTATGATTTTATGTAATTATAATGTTAAATGATTTATTGCATTGTAATTAATTTAAGGTACAATTGTAAATATTAGACCCTATAAGGTGAAACATATGAGAAGTAAAAAGTAAGTAAATCTGGCGCACAATGTGTAATCATTTAAATATTCTTCAGTACCTGAAGGATCTTGCTGTGCTCGGTTTTTTTTGGTAAATCATGTATTTTTGAAATAAAAAAAATAACAAATAATGACAGCAATGATCTGGTATAGAAAACAAAAGTAAAAAAATAAGTGTGTAAATGATCGGGACACGAACCTCGGCCTTCTGTTTCGGGTCCGCCCGATTATCGACCGAGCTATTATAACATTTTTTTTGCGGCGAAATTTACCGTCGTAAATTTTTTCACCCTGGAAACAGGGATAAGATTTTCCCGATTTTTCGCCCCCAAATCTACGCACATACTAAATTTCATGAAAATCACTGGAGCCGTTTCCGAGATTCCGCTTATATATATATATACAAGAACTGCCCGTAATATTTATAATTTATATTTCCAGCATGTGACATCAATGAAATTTAATAGATATGCCGTAAAATAATTTTAAATGTTAAAATTGCTTATATAAAGACCTGATAAATTATAAATATATAGGATTCGACTATAATGTTGAACATAAGAAGTTGCTTAGGTAAAATTATAAACATATAAACCACTTTGTTTTAAAAAAAAATAATTTTGGTTTAACCTTTTAAAAAATTGTTACCATTTTTTTAAAGGCTTTATTCCATACTAACTCTTTGCTAAAAAAAAAATTGCTGGTTATCAAATATTTGAATTAATGTATTTAATTTTTAGGTATTTCTCAAGATTTTATACTGAGATTATATGAAAGTTTTGTACTGAAATGTTTCCTACTTCCTTCCACATAAATCAGGATACACTTGAAGGAAGCAGTTTTTCAGGTAAAATAATAAAAAATAAAAGGGTCTGTAAATTTAACGAATTGTAACATAACTTTTTCCAAATATGGCTGAAGTTATTCTTTATATATGTATATTATATATTATTAGTTGCATGTAAGAAGATTCCTTCTTCACGATCTTTACAGACTACCTATTAAGAGAAAGTAACCACTTAAAACATTATAGTTTTAAATTTATAAAGATCCATATTTATTATAAGCGATTTAAGTTTACTGCCCTAAAGCATGATACATTAAGTTCACAAACAGATTGGTTAGGGTTGTTAGGTGCACTTTTTTATTTACTTAAGGAGTCCAAAGATTTCATCAAGGCCTGGGTCATCTGATTTAATATATTTAAAAGTTTCTAACAAATTAGCTAAAATACTCTTGGACAATTTAATTTAAACTTAATCAATTACTTTCAAATAATAGTGTAGCAATGTTTCATGTGCCTCAATTCTTTGAAAAGTACACCTAATAAAATAGTCCATTACTATAAAGCATAGAAAAATTAAATCTATATTAAAATTAAGTGAAATTATACAATTAAAATTATATAATTATATAATTATACTTGGAATGAAAACTTTCTTTTCTACTTAATTTTTCATTAAACAACTTTACTCTTCTGACCAGGCAACTCATAAATAGTACTGATACCTTTCAAAGAAATAATGTTAGTTGCTATACTTAAGTGAATATTTATAGCAATAAAGTCAGTAGTGAATTTGTAGAAGTTTCAAAATAAAAATTAAGTAAGGCTTGTTACAACTGCCCGCCTGCCTCATGTCAACCATCCTTGGGAACAAACTAGATCCGGAAGGAATAATTATTGTCCCGTGTGGAAATCAAACTTCCGACACTGGATGCCAGAAGCCAATAACTTATCAAGTGGGCTATGTCACATTTATTTAATATTGACTTAAAAAAAACAATATCACATATACATAATATAAATGATATTGTAAAAGTCCAGTACTATCACAGTTTTTATATTTAGTGTTCCTTTCAATAAAATTTTATTAATACTTGTCACAAAATATATTCAGTTACTCCATATTTGTAGTCTTGGTACTGCTGCTTAGTATACAGCGTGTCGTTACCATCGCGACGATAAATGAACACACGTCTAACTCTACTTGCTAATAATCATAAAAAAATATTAACGTTAAACAAAATCCATAATTAAAAAAAAATATTTTTCAAACAAACATTAAGTAAAAAAGAAACAAAATTTGTAACATCCTATACAACTCGCGCCACTGCGTCGTATTACAAGCCTCTCCTTCTAACAGCATGTTTTGTCTCTTTTAAATTCATTCAACCCATTCATGTGCTTTGTGACCTTTACAAATGAACTTTACGTTACGCTTTTATAGGTAAGGGCTGTTCTAAAATTCTTTGTTTTGGAAAATTTAAATATTCTGTAAATATTGATGTTTAAAGAATTTAAATGTTTAATACAACTTTAAAAATTTATCCCCTATATGTGTGTTCATTTATTGTCGCGATGGTAACGACATGCTGTATAATGACAATAATTACCAACCAAAGATATCAAGAAGAACTTCTTTAAAAGATGTTGACATACATAGACATAGATTATTTATTTATTATTTATGTTGAAATAAGATAGTATATAAATAACACTTATTTATTTCAGATTCTTCATTGAGAAAACCTGAGTTTTCATTAAGAATTGTAGTATGTGACCATTACCTTACTAAACCAATACCTAGTGTTGATGTTATATACTCTGAGTTTAGAGGATCGGATATAAAACAGGTAAATTGCATTTTACATCCTATTCTGTTATAGATCTTTAAAATGTAATGTAAGGATTTTCTCTCAACAAAACTATAATTACACTGAGATATAACTTCTTATGTATAGGTTCCTGTATTAAGAGTATTTGGACCAACACCTGATGGTAGAAAGGCATGTCTCCATATACATGGAGTGTTTCCTTACTTCTACCTACCATGCCCCACATCAAACCCAGAACCTCAGTTTTTGTACCAAGTAAGAAAACAATATATTATTATTCTATAAAAAAACACACACCAACAGCAAAAATATTAAAATATTTGTTTTTTAATAAATGTTTACAATACACATTATTTGTGTATTTTTATAAATTAACATGCGTGGTAATTCTTATAGCTACTATCAAACATTACAAAATATAAAACTATACATATCATTGAAACTTATAAAAAAACACCTTTTTATTTATATTATTTTTCAGATTGCAGCAAGTCTAGACAAAGCTATAAATATTGCATTAAAACAAGCATCGTCTATAAACCAACATGTATATAAAATATCATTAGTTAAAGGATTGTAAGGACCTCTAACATTATATAAATATAATTAGTAGTCACTGTTTTTCAAATATGTAATCATTTTCTAGGCCGTTCTATGGATTTCATGATAAAGAACATTTATATTTGAAAATATTCCTGTACAACCCAGGTTTAATAAAGCAAGCAGTCGAGCTTTGTAGCAATGGAGCTATACTGGGACAACCATTGCAACCTCATGAATCCCATTTAAACTTTACATTACAATTCTTCATAGATTTCAATCTTTTTGGAATGAGCAATATTGACCTAGAGAATGTTAAATTTCGTAGATCAGGTGTTTCAATCAGTACCAATGAATCTTTAGATAATTTGGATGAAATAAATCTCAAACCCGAAAGTGTTTGCTACTTTGAGATTGATTGTATTGCATCTCATATAATCAATAGGCAAAGAATTGGTAAAGCAAATGGTATAGAAAACCCAGGTTTGGAAGAAGTATGGAATCAAGAAATGGAAAGACGAAAACAGTTAAATATGTCAATGGTTTCAAAGTCACTATCTCAAGGCAGAGATAAAGCAGATGAAACTGAATCACACTACAAATTTCAAAACATGTTTTTACTTAAAACTTCAAATTTAATTGACAAACCAATCATTAGTGATACAACTCATCTAAAAGAAGTCTGTGAAGTGAATTATCCAGCAGAAATGGCTGAGGGATCGCAAATTTTTAATGCGTCTGACATTAGCACACACATTTCTGAGAATACTTTTAATTCGAGCTTAAATAGAACACTGAAAAAAACAAATATTGTACATAAAGTTCTAGATGATACAATAGTGGATGAAGATATTGCTTTAAACAGCAGTTTCTCTTTACAGTACAGTCAAGTTTTACGTATGTTTATTCGTTTTTAGTTGTCAATACATTTGAAACATAGACATATAAAATATCATTCATGTAATACTCATTTCTGAATACTTATTCTAGTGGACACTGAAGACCTGGAGTTGGTAGGTATGCTTCAAGATATGGATGCTAAACCAATAGATGAGGATAGTGTTATGGGTACCCCAGCTGAAAGTGAAGAAATCTCGTCCGATGTTGAGCTTGATAAGGAATATTCACAAATATTTGATAATGACGCTATTTACTTAGATCCAGAAAAATGGTATGTGAAATAAGGTAATATTCTATTAATTATTAAATTTGATATTTAGAAAAATATTATAACTTTCGTTTTAAACTAGACCATGTTTTCAGTGACAATGATACAAATGAATGTACTTCTTCTTGGAATGATTCTTTTTGGGATGGGGCTAGCATTCCGCAATTAGATGGAACATGTGATGACGAACGTAAGCCTTCTTGTCTTACTTAGTTATTCTTTCTCAATTTCCATACAGTCAAAACTAAATTTACTAAAATATTTTAGACATAAAAAAGAATAGGAAAAGAAAAATAAGAGCTTTCAAACTAGGACTCTCTAAACCAAAAAACAAAAAAGATGTCAAGGCAAATGCTTCGAATAAATGTACAAAAACATTACAATCTGAGATGGACATTAATGAAATAGAAAACAGTGATTCGAGTGGAGATAGTTCTATGAGCATTAAAAAGTGCACCTTGGGCGGCTATCTGATGACATAAATTGTAAATATAAACTTAATGAGAAAAAAACAGCAAAAAAGGATGTGTCGGTAACTGACTTTGGAATATGCTTAAATCAAGATCCAGATAGCAATAAAACGAAACAAACTGAAAACACAGCACCATCCACTTTATATGATCAGGAGAAAGAATACGAACCTGTTGCGGGGCCATCTAAAATGTTAAATGAAAGCAATACCGATTTTATTGATAATTCTGGAAATGAGATTTTAGAATCCTCGCAAGATGATATCGATACAGGTATTAAAAGCTTTTACGACACATCTAAAATATTCGATGTGTCTATGGAGATTGACAACATTAACTCTTCACGTCAAGAACGTTTAAGGGAAAGTGGTAGTGAAGAGGTGTTTGATAAAAATTTTATTATTAAGAAGGAATGGTGTGATAATTATGAAATAGATAAGAGTTATGAAGAGACAAATGATTTCAAAGAATTTAAGAGAGTTGTTATCACACCTAAAATTAGACCCCCAACCAAAAGTTACATTTTGTCTACCTGCGAGAGTTATTCTATACCAAAAGTTTGTAACCCAAAGCCTTTTTTTTCTGATTATAAAGATGTTGGAGAGAAAGTGGAGATTGGGCAGCTAGTTATGAAACTACAAAGCAAACGGGCCTGTGATCAGATTCCATTCGAAAAGGTTATAAATACTACTGGCATAGAAGAATGGAGACAGTTGTTATTTCTACAACAGACAAATGAAATGCTGGACGACACAACTAGGCCGGAGATTTTGAAATCCCTATTGGCGGGTAACAAGAAATACATTTTAAAACCTGTTAAGAAGCCCCCTACTAGTAGAGATATTATTAAATGGATTGAACAAGATAAAAAAAAAGAAGATGAATCTGAATCTAATGTTATAGATTGTAAAGAAATAAGTAAAACTTTAGATGAATTAGAATCGTCACAAGTACTTGGATTAAATGAAGATGAAATAAACTCTAGTATAAGTTTAGAATGTGCAGATAAGGTCTGTATGATTGGTTTTTATGCTTTAATTAGTTTACTCGCAATTTTTTTGCTTTACACTTTGTATTTTATAAAACATATTATTTTATAAAATAATTAGGTTTTTTTTAAAAATTTATTTAGGATGAGACAAAAGTGGACAACGCTTTGCAAGTAACAATGCAAACTGATGGATCATTTCTATGCTTTGGTGGTACGAAAAGTCAAGGATATCACATTTCCCAGTCACCTGTAACGGAAGTACGTTCCTTTCTTAACCATAATGATATTATGTAGACTTCTCTTAAGTAATAAACATACTTAATGTTATTGTATTTCGTAATTTTTAATGTAATACAATTGTACCAAATATGATAACTTTTAAAACGGCTATGCTATAACGGATGAAAATATTCAAACTTACGCAACATCCCGTTAACAATCAGAAGTGTGGCAATACTTAAGTAACGAAGTTCACTTGTCTTTTAGACGGACTTTCTCACATTGATGCTTGCGGAAGTACACACTTCAGTCCGGGGAGATTTGAATCCTGATCCCGCAATAGACCCCGTACAAGCGGTCTTTATAACCGTCAAGAACGACTGCCCACCGGGACACTTCCTACAAAAGATCGTGTCGGTAACCCTCGTTGTGGATCCGCTTCCGCATCCAAAATATCTCGACAGATGCGTATTCGATCTGAACATCACATATTTAAACACGGAAAACGAAATGCTGGAGACGATAATAGGATTAGTGAAGAAACACGATCCCGATATATTGTGCGCGTACGAAATAGAGATGAGCTCCTGGGGCTACATCATCGAACGGGCACAGAACTTGGGCGTGGAGATCGTTCGCGAAATTTCCAGGATAACTGAGAAGAATCGTCAAAGGCGCTGGAGGAACGAAGAATCTGAGCTCGAGGGGAGGGTCATCGGCAGAATTACGTTCAACGTTTGGCGTTTGTTCCGGCACGAGTTGGCCCTGTCGAGTTACAGTTTTGAGAACTGCATGCACGCGATCTTGAACGAACGAGTGCCCGTGTACAGCTTCGCACAGCTGGCTGAGTGGTGGAACGACGAATCGAGGGTTCTAAGGTGGATCCCGGTCGAATACTACCTCACTAAGCTCTCCGGAACCGTGAGGATGCTGGAGAAGCTCGATATGATAAGTATGTTGGCGTGTTAATAATTTTACAAGTACTTGCAGAATTTATTGCCTTGTGAATGAGAATATCATTTTAAAATTTGTCATCACTATTTCGGTTTGGGCCAATTTTATTTACTAGTAGAGTACGATCACTCTCAACACGTCGTTGCCCTTTTATTATCGCCAAGTCGCTAACTAATTGACCAAGTGTTCTGGGTTCAAACTCCACAAGGATCAAATGGTAGTGCGATCCACATATGGTTGTCCAATCCTGATGAACTTGGCAACCGTGACTTCAATTTTATTTTCGTCTGATGTTAAGTGTTAACCGACGCCCATTTACTTTTCAACTCTGTGGTAGATGCGTTATCAACTGCTAAAGAATATCCGGATACCACACTCACTAGACGAAGCCATTCCACTTTCCGACTGTCGTTTTTGAAGCCTTTGTATTGCGAAATCCACCGTGGGACATGGTTTATTGGTTTAGTATACGACCTTGAACCTCTAAATCGCACATCGGTACACTTGAGCAGAGTCGTTTTCAAAGTGAACGATTTGTGTTTATTCATTATACTTTTTATTTGCATTCCACAATGTAGCTTAGGTGGTAAAAGCTCAAAATTAAGGATCATCACGGACCCTGTGAGTGCGTAGTAGTAGTAAACATTGTTAAGATTCAAATACAAGTTACATTCCTACTCATATTAGATCACATTTTAATGCGACGTTACGTTTTGACCTTGAACGGCCTCAACGCAACTTGCAGACCGCACGTCGGAGCTGGCGCGGCTGTTCGGCCTGCAGTGGTGGGAGGTGCTCTCGCGCGGCTCCCAGTTCCGCGTGGAGTCGCTGATGCTGAGGGCCGCGCGGCCCCTCAACCTCGTGGCCCTCTCGCCGACGGTGCGCCAGCGCGCCGCAATGCGAGCCCCCGAATGCCTTCCCCTCATCTTCGAGCCGGGTCGGTTTCCCGTACTACCTTCATTTGTATTCCGAACCGGGCCGGTTTCGCGTCCTACCTTCGTTTTTCTTAACTCACCGTAATAGTCCCTCGCGGTGAAGGCTTTTGAAATTTTATTGATGATCAATTTCAATAGCAATTGCAATTAGCCTTTTATATTTCAATAGCAAAAGCAACGTCTCCCGTTCGAATGTTCCTTGTTAACTGTTATTTGAAAAGTGTAGTATTCTTTAAGTATGCGCACTAGATGAAGCTGCTGCAAAAAAGCAAAAAAAAAATTAAGAAGTAGGTGCATGTAGAGATTTGCGCGACGTTTGGATGGCGCCCGCTTTACTCAGAGCGTTATTTAGAGTTTCTGTTTAGAATCGCGCAGCGTTGAAAATTTATCTACGAAAAAAAAATATTTCATTAACTGTGTCCTAGTACTGTATTGTTATCAGACTTAAAACTTTAGATAAATAAACTTTGGAATCGTTTTTTTTACAGAATCGCGTTTCTACTCGGATCCGGTCATCGTCCTGGACTTTCAAAGCCTTTATCCTTCGATGATGATAGCCTATAACTACTGTTTTTCGACATGCATCGGCCGAGTACAGAATATAAACGGGTGTGTACATAATATGGTTGTATCGATGTTTAAACATGATAATAGGGTAGGTTCTGAAGCTAATATTACCCTCCCATACTCTATTATCGCGCATTCACCCGTCTTCGCACAAGTAGGGAAGTCTTAGTGACGTTAAATTTTCCACATTAAATCTCAGGACAACATTATTAAATCCACAATTATCAATACTAATATTTTACAACAATTACATTTTTCAAACAAATTTATTATTGCTCATAGATACACCAGAGCCGGACCAATTAGTGGCAGATCTAGAAATATACAGCGTGTCGTTACCATCGCGACAATAAATGAACACACATATAGGGGATAACTTTTTAAAGTTGTATTAAGCATTTAAATTCTTTAAACATCAACATTTACAGAGTTATTAAATTTTCCAAAACAAAGAATTTTAGAACACCCTTACCTATAAAAGCGTAACGTAAAGTTCATTTGTAAAGGTCACAAAGCATATGAATGGGTTGAATGAATTTAAAAGAGACAAAACATACTGTACACAGGAGAGGCTTGTAATGCGACGCTGTGGCGCGAGTTGTATAGGATGTTACAAATTTTGTTTCTTTTTTACTTAATTAGTTTGTTTGAAAAATATATTTTTTTAATTATGGATTTTGTTTAACGTTAATATTTTTTATGATTATTGGCAAGCAGCGTTAAACGTATGTTCATTTATTGTCGCGATGGTAACGACACGCTGTATGTTCCGTAGGGAATCAAATCCATGACACGCGTCCTAAACTAATCGAGCCATGTTACTGTACCTATTGTATTATTTTACCAATGCCTATCGTTACCCAGATAATGTGTCCAAATCCAAATAGCCTTCTAGTTTGCATGCCGTATTATGATCCAAGAAGATTATTTCGAAAGTTATACATATTATCAATATCGATTCTTTTGGCGGTTGATTAAATTCTTGTTGTGGTAAGGGATGAAGCACTAAATTGTGTCTTTGAGTCACTGCTATATTTTGTTCACAAGAGAAGTTGGCAAGAATAATTGGTTAAACTAATGATTTATTTATTAGTTAAGTTTTATCAACGATTGTTTAAACAGGATACTTATTAAAATATATCAATAATAAAATATTTAAAAAAATAAAGATATATGACAATCTCTCTTGTATGTAAAAAAAATTGACATAATCAAACGGAAGATTTTTACTCTATTGAAGTATTCTTAATTTCATTCAATTTTGCAATCTATGATTCACCTTTACCCTTTCCCTACTGTATCTGGTTTCTTTATCTGGTTCCTAGTCTACCTTTACCTGGTTCCCAGTCCTGGACCCTACTCTCCCCTTACCAGTGGTGTTGTCGAGCCGGAACGCTCCGGAACGTTGTTCCGGTACTTCCTTTTTTGGACAGGAACGCGTTCCGAAACTAAAGATGATAATTATATATATACGCAAAAAAAAAATTAGCACAACACCACTGCCCCTTACCTCGTCCCTACTCTACCTTTACCTGTTCCTACTCTACCTTCCCCTACTTTTACCTGGTCCGCCAGGCCGTGGTGCTTCCGCCGATCCGCTCAAGGCCCCTCAACTACAGCATCTCGACTTTACAAATGCTCGCACAGCGACGCGCCTTACGAGTTCGGCGCGTGGCGGCTGCGCGTGAAGCGCGAGCAGCTGGAGGCTCTGGCGAGGGGGGGCCTCGTGCACTGGTCCCCCGTGGGGGTGGGGTTCGTGAGGCCGTCGGTTCGGCGGGGCGTGTTGCCCGCCCTCTTGCGGAGGATCCTGGCGGCCAGGCAGGCGGTGAAGAAGAGCATGAAGGGGCAGACAGACGAGGCGGCGAAGAAAGCGATGCACTCCAGGCAGCTAGGTGAGGGGGCAGAATTTTTAGAATCTTATCTTATTTTCAAAGAGAAGGATCTCACTGCCGGCTTGTTACCTCAAAATTCGATTTTAAAAGTTTTTTTTTTGCATTGGGTTGAGTTTAACTCCCTTTTAATTTCATTGGTATTAGACCTTGGACTCGAGAGATACGTCAATATACGTCATTGTATATAGAGTAAATAGGACCCACTATTCAGTGTTGTTTAAACAGCTATTCGCCCTTACACTATATATTCAGGGCTCTATATATATATATTCAGGGCATTATTATTCATATACTATATATATTCAGGGCTCTATAAAAGAAAATTAATGGAGCACAACCCTGCTTATTGTTAAATTTGACTTATATTTGCTTTTAATCGTGAGGAAAATTGAATTTTATTATCCCTAGATTAACCTAGCTTTATCATGGGATGGATCATTTTATTAGACTTTCACCTTTCCACTTAGAGTGTGTACAATCCCCGATTCCTTGAAACGGTAATATATAATAAAGTGAACTGCCAACGACTACAAACGAATGCATAACCATTTCTCATTGAGGTGGTAGTCGAGTCTTATATGGGCAATTAACGGATTGAAGGTTATTAGTATTATAGAAATTATAATTACCGCCATTTTTTCTCAGGATTGAAGCTGATAGCAAACGTGACGTACGGCTACACTGCTGCCAACTTCAGCGGGCGCATGCCGTGCGTGGAGGTTGGCGACAGCGTGGTGGCTAAAGGTCGCGAAACACTCGAGCGGGCGATCAAGCTCGTCGAGAGCAACTCCGATTGGAACGTCAAGGTGTGGCCCCACCTTATACGCATCATCCTTATGTTTGTAGTTCACAAACATATGCACGCGCGATCACAACAAAATAACCTTCTTTCTGCTCTCATCATTAAGACCTATGGTGGGCACAACATATTTTGTTAATTAGGTTTAACCACCGGCCTCCTGCCTAACGTCAATTCTCCTTGGGAATAAACACCCAGATCTGACACAATTATCTGTGGGTGACAAATACTTGTCCCATGGAGATCCAACGTTGAATGACCCCAGCTCAGATAGCTTAGCATCTGCGCCACCGAGGTGTCGTAGGTTTATTATGATCGTATTACTCCCAAACATCTAGTCCAATTTATAGGTTGTATTCTCCCAGTATAGTATGTTTCGTCACGGCAATTGGCACTGTCAGATGAAGACCAAGTATAAAGTCAAACTGTCGATCTTCTATAGATAAGGTTAATTCTCTTGCCCATGTAGTGTTACATGAGAAACTGTCACGTGCCAGAAGTATACCTTTTTTGAGAGGACACCAAACTGACGTTTAATTATAACTAGGACACCAACAATTAAACTGTATAAACGGCTGACTTATCATATTTTTGTGTCTAACATATAACCCTTAATTTTATAATTTGTATGATAAACAGTTGATTGATAAGCAATCATCAGGTGATTTACGGCGACACTGACTCCATGTTCGTCCTGGTGCCGGGCGGTAGCAGGGCACGAGCCTTCGAAATAGGCCAAGAGATAGCCGACGCCGTCACCGCCGATAATCCATCGCCAGTGGCATTGAAGCTCGAAAAGGTTGCCATTCCACTAATAAGAAACAACACAGACAGTTCGAAACTCATCACGACATTCTCATTAAGTTCTTTTATTTTGTATGAAATGTTGCCTAGCGTGCAGGCCGTCCACCTGCTGTCAAGCGAATACCGCCGCCCATGGACATCTGCTAAACCCGAGGGTTTCTAGTTGCGTTGACAACCTAGTGGGCCCCGCCTACCTCACTCACCAGACGAAACGTGAAAGTATTATACTTAAACTTGGGTCACTTCACGCTGGTTTTCTTTGAGGTCGTGGTACTTAACCGGACGGACTTGCCCATTCATGCAACAGTAAAGTCCGTTGTCGTAGCCACCACAGTTAGAAATGTTCTTTATTAATATAGCGAAATTAAATGTGAGGATATCGGCTAAGCTCAGTCGGTTAAAAGGTTTGAGCTCGTCTCCGAGAAGATTTTTCGACAATTTATCCTTTAAATTAGCATTTAAATTTCATCTTTGGTGCATTGCCTAGCATGAAACATAAAAATAATCACTAATGATTAAATTCATCATTACTTTTATATTTTTATATGCATAGCCACTTGGTCGATCAGAGTCATTTGAATTTATTCTACACTATTTACGACTTTATCATTCGTTTTCAGGTCTACCAGCCGTGCATTCTGCAAACGAAGAAGCGATACGTTGGCTATATGTACGAGAGTGCGGATCAGACGAAACCGGTTTACGAGGCGAAAGGCATCGAAACGGTCCGAAGAGACGGCTGCCCTGCCGGGGTTAAGGTAATGCTAGCTTTGGCTCTGAGAAACTTCACAGATTAACAACGACGGCTCGATACGCGTAGTGGATAGAGAACCCGTCTCTTCCGCCAAAGGGTGTGGGTACTATAAGCTCAGCTTAGTATGTAGATAAAGTTATGTAAATACGTCGTGAAATATTAATTTATCTTTTTCTGAAATATTTATTTAACACTGCCAGTATTGGCAGCGCAAAATTTAATGCGTTTTATTGAAGTTTGCTACGTGGGTCCTACACATACACGGTACTTGTGCATAAATCGATTATTCTTATATCTTTGCTTGCTCTGTGCTGATGCACAGAGCAAGATACAATGCAATTAGATAGTTGACATAAAGATTTAATGCGCGTCTGGTGCAACGCAAGCCAGGTGTTATTGGATTAAATTTTATAAATTACAGAATTTCTAATTGGTAACACTCTTCTATACAGAAATTGGGATTTTATTTAACCAAACTAGTTTACAACAAAAACGTATTTGTTGGTCACGTGATCAAATGACAATGTTGTACTGCAACGCGAGCGGTATAGCAATAATATTCTCACGCAAACTTTAATGCTCCCGAGTGAATTTGGCTCCCATCGACAACATCAAACTATGCACGAAAGGGGCTGGTAAGAGACAACGTAACGTTTTCTTTCTAACCGACTAAAAAATCAGGAGTATTTTTTTACGTAAGAAGATAGCACGCGAGCTGGCGGTTCACCATATTGCTGCCATCATTTAATAAAGTGGGGCCCGGTCACCTCACTCACCAGGCGAAACACGGAAGTGTAACACTTCAGGCCGGTATCCTGTGCGGTCGTGGCGCTTCCCCATACCTGCCCATTCGTGCAACATTAAATGCGTTCCATATGTACTCCATGTTTACGTGTTGTAACAGCTGCTGCAGCGGGCGCTGTGCGAGCTGTTCGAGACGGGCGACATGTCGCGCGTGAAGAGGGCCGTGTGCGCGGGCCTGTCGCGGCTGGCGGACGGCGCGCTGCCGCCCGACGAGCTGTTCTTCACGCGCGAGTACCACGGCCTGAGCGGCTACCGGCCCGGCGCGGCCGCACCGCCCAACGAGATCGCCAAGTGAGCGGATTCCCTCCGTCCGGATGGCATTCACCGGGAGACGAACAACACGAAAACGTACCCCCCGGAGTTTGATGTAACTGGACGTCCTCATTTTTCGCAAAGCATTGCCAACGCCTTAAAATCCTATTGGTTTTGCAAATGTCCATGGATAGTGGTAGCTATTTACTAGTTCACGTTAAGTGCGTGTGTGAGTGACGTGCGTGTGTGAGTGACGTGCGTGTGTGAGTGACGTGCGTGTGTGAGTGACGTGCGTGTGTGAGTGACGTGCGTGTGTGAGTGACGTGCGTGTGTAAGTGACGTGCGTGTGTGAGTGATGTGCATGTGTACAGTACGCGCGCGTGTGCCTTTGCGCTGACGACGAGGGTGCCGGCAGGCGGATGAGGGCGCGCGACCCGCGCGGCGCGCCTCGCGCCGGCTGGCGCGTGCCGTGGCAGGTGTGCGCCGGGCCGCCGGCCACCGCGCTCTGCCGCCTGGCGCGCTCGCCCCGCGAGCTGCTGCGCGAGGGGCCGCACCACCCCCACGTGGCGTACTACGCCACGCGCGCCCTCCTGCCGCCCCTCCACCGATGCCTGTCGCTGCTCGGCGTGCACGTCTCCAATTGGTACGTTTTTTTTTTTTCAATTTCGCCGCATTGCATTTTTGACAAAACCACGCATTTATGCGTTTATGTTTTCGCTATTGCTGTGCACGTATCTTCGAAGCTCCGACAAACATGATGCGCAATTTTTGCTCCTGAAAGTGAAGTCTGAAGTTTACGAATTCTAATCTGAATCTTACATGTTAGATGAGCAATTATTATTTACAAACACCTTTTATGTCGCCTTAGATTGTACATGTTATAAATTCGAAAGTGCTTTCCTTTAAATATCTTCATTTACATATTATATATCAAGCTGTCTGGTCTCGGAAGTTCTCTAAACTACTTGTGAGTATACGAATACGTTGCGATGCATAACTACTCCATACGATTCCGACCCGAATGCTTTTCCTATCTTTGATTAAATTTGACAGATGCGCCGATCGCCGTCTTAATTGAGCGTGACGGCGATATATTTGCTTGCGAGCGAAAGAGACGGGCGATACATGTGGTGCATAGCAGTTAATGGAAGTAGGCATGTCGGGATGTCGGCAAATAAAATCGATATTTTTGATTTTATATATCGATATTTTTAGCCGATATATTTAGATCGAAAATATTTTTATTTCGACAACGTGGTTCGATATATCTCTTCACGTTCGGCATCGCTAAACGGAAGGCGGCCGCAGGTGGGCGGAGGTGGGGCGCGGGCGGGAGGCGCGGCTGGAGAGCGGCGCGGCGCGGGGCGGGGGCGGCATCGCGCGCTACATGCAGCGCGGCCGGTGCGCGCTGTGCGGCGCGCGCGGTTGCCGCTCCGTGTGCGCCAAGTGCGCGCAGCCCGGCGCACTGCGCACGCTCGGCGCGCGGCTGGCGAACGCGCAGGCGCAACTGCGCAGCTGCCACGAGGTGCGCGCCCCTCCGATTGATACGCTGACCATTAAGATCATTCTGATCGATTCAGCGTTTAACCATCCTTTTGGCAGCTTGAAAGCCATTCGACGGCTGATTAGTTGACTTCTACGATGATCAGTGTTGCAAAAACAGAAAAAGATAGAATTAGAAAATTCGATCAGCATTAGACGGAATTCGTAAAGTGATTAAACTGACTCAAAAATCAGGAATTTTGATATTGAATAGTACTGAATACAACGCAGTCCCTAACTACATGGAATAGAACCCTTAGAAACGTCCGCTTCGCAAGGTTTTTTTTAATTACCCATATCAACCTTCTCACAGAAGACACAGCCACTGCACAGAAAATACCTATTCGCAGCACTACATGGCACTACGCGGCTCTATATGGCTGATAATACAACTACTACTGTGATGTTGGTAGCAGCTCTTACCCTGACATGGCCCATCCGGGGGCGCGCTAGGAACTCATGGAAGACCACACAGGAAACGGCATAGAGTAGTATTTACTCGTATACTTTCCATTTCGCCTGCTGAGTTAGATAATTGCGGTCAATCCTCGAAAACATTGGTAACAATTCTGTGAGATCTCGAAGTGCTTGCGAGGGCATTAGATAAGCTACCATACACTCACCACATCCTGGGTTGACTGGTAGAGAATGGCTTTGGACATTAAGTCCGCCCTTTGTTACCTTGTATTACTGAAGGTTGGCAAAAAGATTAAATAAATATATATTATTTGGTATTATATATATATATATATATATATATATATATATATATTGTTACGTGTTAGGGGTTCGAAGGATTTGGAGAGAAAGACCTGCTGACTCTTTTGAAGACTTTATTCAATAGCACTAGGTCCAACACAAAGCACTAGGTCCAAACACTAAGCACTAACGATGTCCTGTTTTGTAGCCAAGTCGTAGGTTTCACTGGTATCGCTCTTGATCACTACTTTTCGCTCCGAAGTCGCCTCGCCTAGATGGCGTTAGTTCCTTTGTGTGTTCATAACAATATATATAATACCAAATTTAAAATCAATATCGGTCTTCATATTTAATACCGATCCACATTAGTCGTAAACGTCGCCGGATGTTCATTCATACTTGTGCTATTTAATTTTAAGTCTTTAATAATTGCTATTTAATTAAGTCTTTAATAATTGAGGTCTGTTGATTTCTCAGATATGTAGCGGTTGCTGCGGTCATCCATATTATTTGCGATGCGAGAACACCGAATGTCCTGTACTGTGGCGCAGGGTCACCGCTCAACAGAAATTGGATCAAGTACGCGACGTAGTGTGCAATCTACCGCCGCATTTAACGGACCGCAATTTAGATTTTTAATTTTGTTGTAATCACCATGAATTGTGGAATGCTCAGATTATGTTTCAATTGTAAATATTATTTCAACTTTTTACACGCTTTCATTAGTCGCCGTTTGTCGAGATAAATTTTCATACTCCTTAACCGACAAATTGTCATTTCTGCTCCTAAACCTTAAACTGACGACACTAAGATAAATATTTTCTTTTTATATGGAACATCATATAACAGGAAATATTTAAAAAATAACCAACGTTTTGAGAAATGTTCAGGACGTCTTTGTCGGTTCACCAACACACAGGTGTTATTTAGTTACTTATGTTTAATATTAATGTTAAAATACGCATACTAAATTTCATGAAAATCGCTGGAGCCGTTTCCGAGATCGCGTTTATATATACATCACGCTACCTTTTGTTCACCCTTTCATTTGGCATTCTTGTGACGTCCACCAATTCCACTTATTTTTTTTACTTTTACTGCGAATATTAGTCGCTAGGGCAGTGTCAAACACTGCTTACATCTTATTTTTCATATATATACAAATATACGTATATTAACAAGCATAGTGAAATCAATTAGGACTCCACCCAACACTATCAATTATCTGGCTTCCCATAATATACATAATTTTATTTACATTTTCCTATCTATTAAAACTCCTATGAACAGTGCGACGTTGCCGCTGTGCTTTCTGTACTAAGATATAATAAGTTGGTGGATAATTACTATAGTATATCTACAGTACAGGTATGCAAAAGTCTATATAAATTATGTAATCATTTGCACGTTTTACAGGTATTTAGATATAATTATACGAGTATACGGACGTTGCAATGTCGTAAAAGTTTCAAGCTATTATTCATTTGACATCCTGGACGTCAAATGACAATGTTGTAAAACTTTTAAGACATTGTAACGTCCGTATATATGTATATACATTATATGTCTTAGTTAGACTCCAGAAGAATATGCAGTAGCTACTTGCTTGATCCTCTGTTCTTGACCTCTATCTTGTAAAGTAAAAAAGTAAAGTATCAGCCCATACATATCCCACTGCTGGACAAAGGCCTCCACTGTACAGTGGGTATCAGGGCATAGTGCACCAGGCGCCATCGCGGATTGGCGGACATCACATATCTTCGAAAATATATTTTTTTTGTTGTTATTTTCAAAATATGCAGGTTTTCTCACGATTTCCCTCGCCGCTGGGCACGTGATAGTTCAGCACTTAAAATTAACAATTTCATGGTTCCGGGTATCGAACTAGAAGGTGCTCGAGTACATTGAATTAAAGGTGCGCGCCCGAACACCGAGCTATCACAGAAGAACGACGTAAAGTAGAAGTGTTACACTTCTGCGTTTCGTCCGGTGAGTGAAGTAGCCGGGGCCCACTTTATTTAAAGGTAGTAGTAGTAAGGCAACGCATTTGCAACCCCACGGGTGTTGCATATTTCCATGGGCGGCGGTTATCACTTAACATCAGGTGGACCGCAACTCGTTTGCCACTTTCTCAAATAAAAAAAAAATATAGTTTAAATGTGAAATTATATTTTTTTCCGTTACATTCTTCATAATAAATAAATTTCTTTTAATTATTTCGCTTTATGTTATTTACTCAGTCATAACAATCATTTTTATGTATTCTTCTATGTCGAGGCATAACGACTTTGATATTTGGCAATGAAATAATTATTTAAATACATTTAATAAAAAATTAAGGTAGGTATGTTAAAGAGTAGAAACAAAACCAGTCAGGCTTAAATATAAAGAACAGAAGATTTGAGCCTCCTTCTTTTTTCGAATTCGTTTAAGTCCGTTTTTACCTACCGTTGAAGCCATATTATAAAATACGACCGTTTTCCACCCCAAAGGGAAGAAAACGATTATTTCAGGTCTTGCCTCGGCTTGACCTTTCGGAGATTACTTACCCTTCCTAAACACGCACACATATGCTAGCTACTTACTATGATCTGTCTCTGAATGGATTCAAGGCCCCCGCGAAGGGTGCGCGGGGAGAGGCGGCGGCGGCAGGCGCGGTTTACGTCACCGCGCTCTCGTCAGTACCTGTCTCCGAATAGCCGGCAAGGGTTTGCTCAGGTCAAGCCTCGGCAAGACCTGAAATAATCGTTTTCTTCCCTTTGGGGTGGAAAACGGTCGTATTTCAGTGTTTGCCTCGGCTTGACCTTTCGGAGAAGTGTTTATAATCTGCCGGCGTTCCAAAGCGTACTGTGACTGGTGACTGAAATAAGTCCTTGTAAAGTCGTAATGGCCATAAAGAAAATATTAAGTTCATATTAAAGAATAAAACTTTATAATCTAAGTATTTTCATACCTAAAGATTTTAATTTTTAGAGTAGGTACTCGTTAAAACTAAAATCATATTTATTAGGCTAGCTAATTAAACTTTAATCAGACTTGAAAACGACTTGATAGCGTTATTAATAATGATTTAATGTAGACTATTCCAGGACGTGTACCATAAAAATATACATCACTAATAGTTTATAAATGCTTTAGCTAGTTCCTTTAAGGCTGTTGAGTGAACACTCAACAGCCTTAAAGGAACTATTTAAAACATTAGCGTTGGGGTCCTGCTTACGTTCTACTGATTTGCAGTAATGCTTAAAGACGTGTCGTGAGCCTCTCCAGTTTTCCGTTGCAGAATCATGTCTAACGGTACATTAAATTGGAAATCATTCGAAGCTACTGCTGATCTTATGGACCCGGGACCGCAGTCTATGCCTGCTTAGCTCTTTAAAAGTCGTCTTGAGCCATCCAGCAATCACGAACCTTGACGCTGCGTTTACTTCACCTCGTGTCGTGATAAACAGATTGAATAGATCCTTTCGCGCTCATCGCCTATTGGCTGCAACTCGATTAAGCGATTAACCCAGCTAGTCCAGCTAATCACTGGATCTTCAGAATAAATTAGGTGCCATCCAGATGGGCGATACTTGGTATTGTCCGTTTTGGACTCAAACCTGGTTCAAAAGGTTATGGAGGAATCGGCTCTTTCATAATGGTGTTCGTCAATATCTAGAATAGTTTAATCGTGAATACATCGTCCTGAAGTTATCAGAAGTAAAAATAAAAGGTGTCTAGATACTTGAAAAATACTATCGTCAGCCGGGACATACGATCGTAACCACTGAAGGAGATCTTGAACGTTTCATATCTATGATTTTGACCTCGCAAAGCATTTCTTTACACTAATCGCCTTTAGAAGGGTTGTTATCAAAGGGTGACTGGCAAGTCGTTTCTCTTGAGTAGGAACAGAAAGATTTAGAATTACTGATGTGAACTAGAATTGTAGGGTATACCAAATATTTGGCTCGAGTTAATAACCCAAGTAAGCGGCGACGTTTTGAGGTTTAGGATTGTTGGGTTCTTTTTCCCTTTCCTTGTACCAAGATACCCACTGCTTCCATGCGGAACTGTAAGTGCGTCAAGTGGAATCTCTCCACGCTGATTGCAGATGCTTAACGTCATCTGGATCTAGGCAAACGACTAGTTCACTCCGCCAGACGTCTAGCAGATCTTCCACTTGTGAAGATGGGCGGTTGACAGACAGATCTATCAGACACTTTCAAATTTCGAATTTGAGAAGGAGCCCCCAGAGCCCGTCGCTTCAAGTCGTTTCTCCAGATCACTGCTTCATATCGAGGAACTACAACAAGAAAAGTCCCCGACGACTTGTTGAGATGACGAAGCACCCTGGGGATCAGGGGCAGCATAGGGCAGTGGAAAAACCCGAGCAAGATTGTATTGCCAATCTCGGCTGAAAATGATTGCCTCTATTGACGCATAAGCTCCACTTGAGGGGTACCCCATTTCTTGAAAATCTTTTTCACAACGTTCCTCTTGAGGTGCCAATCTGGAAGCCCGTTTCCGCACGATAGGCAATCGGCTATTATATAGTAGCGATCAGGCAGATAGAAAGCATGAAGCGTCACGTCTACACTGTCGGCTAACTTCAAGTTGTTGCTTCTAGAAGAACGATTGACCGTGTTCCTCGCTGATTTCTCAGGTAAGAGATTACCGTCCTGTGCACCATCACTGAACAACCTCGAATCGCTTCTTGAAACTGCGACAGAGAGCTACAAGCACCGAAGAGAGCTCTTTCCTGTTTATGTGCCAACTCAACTGGTTCTCTGACCACTGACCCGATAGAGAGTGATATCCAAGTTGAACACTCCAGTATGGGTTTGACGCATTTGTGCTTATGTGCACGTCAGTTCCGGAATTAAGATTTTGTCCGGAGTATTGATGTGCTTGATCCACCACTGACAATCTGCACGTGCTGATGACGGAACTCCAAACTTCTTCTTGGGGTGCTCGTTGGAGAGTTTTCGACTGGCCCTCTGAATCTGCCTGGTGTTAAGACTACCCAAGGGAGTTGCCAAGGCTGCGAAACATAGGGCTAATAGGGCTGTGCCTGACTTCCAAGACCATCGACCGGTTTTGTGAATATTTTCTAGGTTCCTCACTAATCGCGCTTTTTGCGTCTGGCAAATTCATCGGGTTTGTCGCTGCGTCCCACACGATACCGAAGAATTCTATCTGCCTCTTTGGCTTTATAACTGATTTTTTTTAAGTTTACGCACCAGCCTATATGCTGAAGAATCTTTACAGCCAGCCTTAACTGATCCTCTAGAACAGCAGGATCCTGATGGGCAAAGAGAAAGTCCTCCAAATATACTTGAACTCTTAATCCCTGTCTTCTCAAAACTCTTGCGAGCCATTTGGTAACGAGAGAAAAAGCCAATGGCGCGCTGGACAGGCTAAACGGTAGAGATCTCGAATGGATCCCCCTCGTAAAGGAGAGACAGATACCTTCGATGGCTCTTTCTTATCGGTATATGAAAGTAGGCCTTACTGATGTGTAATTTCCCTAAGTAGTCGCCCTCTTGTAGAATATTGGGAACCTGCATTTGATTTATCAAGCAGAACTTTGGCGGATTGAGAAATGCGTTCAGACGACGGATATCGAAAGATCTATCAGAGCTTTACGTTTGACTTTGGTATGAGAAACATCCGCTACAGTAAACCGGTAAAGGCTTATGAGATCTCTCTACAACACCTGATCTTAGAAGTTCTTATATTTCGTTGGTCATCGCTTCTGACTTTTTTGTTGCGAACCGAGATTTCCCGCATAGAGGAATGGAGGGCTGCTTGGTTACAAAAGGGATCGCGTAACCTGAAATTATCTTTAGGACTGCTCTTGGAGCTTGTAAGTTCTCCCATTGTAATGTATAACCCCTAGCTGCCCTCCCCGAAAACCGTCAATATCTACGATTGGCCCGTGACCGTCGTTTATTTCTACACTGTTTCCCTATTTGTTTGGATTGGCTGGAACGGAAGGCAGACGTACTGGACGAGGGCTTGCATGACGCCATAGACCGTGCATTCCAAGGATTTCGTTTACCCTTAGCCTGTGTTGGAGCTTGCGTTGGTTTTCGAAAACCGACCCTTGGAAACGAACCTTTATCTGGACATTTCTCTCTGGTATGAAAAATACGACTTACTCCCCCATTACAAATCTTCACAAATGCTGGGAACTTTTTCTCATAGAAAGGGTGAGACACCAAGGGGGAAATCTGTTACAATGCCGCAACTAACCCTCTATTACGGGGCTTGAAGGCTCTTCGTCTAAACTCAAAAGTTTCTGCTCGATGAGCACATACGTATTGATTTATGTTATCGGATAATTTCCTTAACTGGGAGTCCTTTCCAAGAACACATCACATTTGTTCTGCGGCCTCCGGACATCTTTTGGAAATGTCTTTGAAATTCTCAGCCAGAGAATGGCCTCTGCATGAGGAGTCCACGGACAATAGTACCTAGCAATCCGTCTTGCTTTAAAAGCCAAGCTGATGGCAGCGCAGTTGAGCTCAACTCTATATTCAGTTTTAGTGTGCTAAAAAACTGGTGCCGCTAGAAGGAGCTTCTTTGTAACGGATTCGGTTCCACCGAGGGGCATGTATGGAGGCATGCCCCAACCGCTGACACTCGATGCCTTTCCTCTTTATCTGTGTAGTGGTATCTGGGATCAGTGGATCCGCTTGTTTTACCTGTGGTAGGAAATCAAATTCTGATGGAGAAAGTGGTTTCACCTCCGGTCTAAGAGAAGATATTTCTTCCTAGTGACTTATTGGGGTCCTCCACGAAGAACAGACGTCAGAGCCTTCCGAATTAATGTCCCCAGAGTCTAAGCAATCATCATCGGAATCTAACTCAGGGTGCGTACGATTTTCTGAAGGCTGAACCGCTTCGATCTTTTCCATGAGGATGGTGTACATATTATCCATCTTCCTCTCTAACGCATCATGCCTGGACATTAAAGGAGACCTCTTTCTACGCTTCTTTCTGGCTCTACTGCTCATTAAGACACTCCTCCGCTTACGACAAGTTCCTTCAGACTGAGAAAGATTGCCCGCCAGTATCCTGTCCGCTTCAACTCGTGTATGTAGAAGTGTTGAACTGCTTCAACAGACTTCTTAACGAGCTCAGTGCGTACTGCTGAGGCTCGGATGCGGTTTGCCACGGCTGCCGGACCTAGAATGAGGGCCTGAGTGAACGCCCAATCTAACAGTTTGCACTCTATATCCCTTCTCCGTTAGACGATCCGCCTCTGGTATGAAAGCCCAGACTAAGCCAACAGTAGGCAAGGCAAATATGAGCTTGTTTAGCACATTTGGTTCGAGCTTTTCTCCGGAAACTTCTTCTCTCGTGGCGGTGGAAACCTCCCAGCGAGTCCAACGGGTGGTTGGAAGATGCTCTTGTACCAAAACTTTTACACGCTCCAACAACTTTTTCATCTTGCTCCGTCTCTGCGTGCTCATCCAAAAGCTCGCCTACGGTGACAATACCTGCCTGTTGAGCCATCTGATGCCAAAACAGAGGCCGTAGTCAAATAATCAATCAGAAAAGAAAAGCTCAAACAACTCGTAAGACTTTTGTTTTGAAGTCCAAGAATTGAACAAAAGCTCAACAAATTGAGGCACGCTGCTCAAGATGCGCGCCGCGCCGCCCGCTTTTTGAGCCGCGCCGCCCGCTTTTTGAGCCGCGCCGCCCGATCTTTAAGCCGCGCCGGCCGGTTTTATGAGCTGCGCCGGTCAATTTTCGAGCCGCGCCGCCCAATTTTTGAGCCGCGCCGGCCGATTTTTGAGCCGTGCCGCCCGCTTCTTGAGCCGCGCCGCCCGATTTTTGAGCCGCACCGCTTAATTTTTGAGGGGCGCCGTCAAATATTCGAGGCGCCCCGCTCCAAATTTGAGACGCGTGCTGTTAACCTTTCGGGTATCCATCAGTAAGACAGTGGCTGATTGGCCGACATGTCGAAAAATTGCAGCCACAATTTTGTGGGCTGAAATGTAGTATTCAGTACGTATATTGTGGATGGCATGTCCGACAAATACGAAAAAGACTTAACACAACGTTTGTGGATGATGTGTCCGACAAACATGACACGTAACACTGGTAAAGCTAAGAATCTTCTTTTACAGGCGAATCCGCACCTTAAACAGAAAAATACATACAAACTGAGACAAAATGAAATTGCTTACACTATATCCAATGAGTAACGTTACAGCAACGTTGAAACACTTTAAACAATAATAACTTATATTCATATTAAGCAATTAAGCAAAATCAAATAGCATACGTGCGCACGCTAGGAAAACATAAGCGTACTTTCCCTATATACAAAAGTACTCTGTGGTACTGACGAGAGCGCGGTGACGTAACCCGCGCCTGCCGCCGCCTCTCCCCGCGCACCCTTCGCGGGGGCCTTGAATCCATTCAGAGACAGATCATAGTAAGTAGCTAGCATATGTGTGCGTGTTTAGGAAGGGTAAGTAATCTCCGAAAGGTCAAGCCGAGGCAAACACTGAAATAGTATATATACCATTACTTGAATTCAAATTATATAAAGTAGTATCTACCCAAAATGAAACAATCCATTTCCCTTAAAAAGGCGGACGCAATATCACATATCGAGTGAAAGCTTGTGAAAAGTGTGTATATTCACGAATCGCGAATATAATAAACATTATATATATACAGGGTGTTACAGAAAGGTGTTGTAACATTTAAAGGCGTGTATATATATCAGACTTTGAATCAAATGGCATAATTTTAAAATACGAATCTAAGCATTTTTTGACGATAAAAATTTAAAAATTATTAACTGTAACAACCCTGATTATAGAAGTCACTGACCGCGCATCGGTGTTATCACTCCAAACTCACACACGCATACATCTGATCGCCCGACTTATTCCCCTCTCCCTCCACTCCTCGTTACGTCATTACCCCACTTCCCGCTCCTCAAGTTTATCGGTCCCCTCCGCCCGCCCCTCGCCAACCAAACTGACAACGACCGCATCGCGCTGCAGGTCCTGGCGATGCTCTAATACAATGAAACACCGTGCTTATCATCAAAATTTATTTGAATTTATCGGATTTTGTCACAACAGAAAGACACGAAATAGCTATACTGATAGTCCATGAGCCCTACTTAATATGTTATGGATTAAAGAATAGGTATTCATTATCGGGAAATAAAACACAGACACACTACTTTTACTACGTTTATTTTTCTAAGCAAATATCCGCGTCATACCTACATAAAAACATTTTTTACATGGAATTAATAATAGATTTCATGAGACAATTTCCACTGTAACTTATAATTTTTTTGTTTTGAGATTTTGAATTAAACATTAAATCGCTTGCAGTGGAAGGTAAAAACTTTTAGAAGGTTACAACTCACAAATCTTACAACGCCGATAAATTTATTCAACACAACATCAGTGAGATACATTATCATGTTATGGCGGATACATAATACATAATAATGACAAAAATAAATTTCGAATTAAGTAAGTTCAATGTAATTATAAAGTATTAAACAATAAAATCTTTATTTTAAATAAAGAAACTATACCTATACATTCCAATGAGATCAGCGTTTACTAAGAAAACTCGTGCTTATCGGTGTCGGTCGGTTCCATTACGCGATACTATTCTTGCACTTCAGCACTTGGGATAGTCATTGTCACTAACTTAAAACACACCAAGGTCAAGGGTTGCTTCGTCATTTGCGAAGCTTCGACGCGTATAGGGCGCGGACGCTGACGAGGGCCGATCCTTCCTAACACCTCCTTAACACAACTGGCAGCTGATCCAAATTTATTTCAGCATTCTTGCTTGCTGTCTTTTGGCGTTTCTTCTTATCTTCTTAATACTTAGGGCGTCAAAGACTACCTGTCATCGAAAAAACCAATAATGTAGTTTCAAGGTAAATCGACGGCAATTCTCTCCGCAACACCGAATACCATTAAGCAATTTCTTAGCATATGCATTTCTGTCATCAATAACTGATCAATAAATCGAGAATAAAAAATAAAAATCACGAACGTGTCTTCACACCGTAATGTCTAAAAAGTAACTGATTTAAAAGTTTAAATAACACAAACGAAACGACGGCATATTTTATGTATTGATTAAACTACCTAGGCGGCATTCGGCCGCTTATGTCGGTAAGTACTTAAGAAAAGAAACGTTTCTTGGGGACTATTTCGCCGCTCGTATAATAATGTTACCATGTCTACTGAGTAATATTATAGGACGGGAGAAAATAGTTGGCTATTTAATTTTCAAATCAGCATAGCTATATCACAAACTTTTTGTAAATCAACATTAAACTATTGCTGGAAGGTCAGGTATTCTTTTAATGGTATTTTACCATTGACTAACAAAACATTAAGAATCTAGTTGACCTCCTTTAAAATACCACAAAATAATCCTAATCGCTATTTAGAGCTTTTGGCTCATTTACAAGTATTATTTTAAGCTTAAGTTATTTTAACTATTATGTAGACTATTAACTTCATCAGAAAATGTGAAAATTTCAGAGCAAAATTATTTTCATGTGATGGCAGTTTACAATTTTATTTATTTTTCCTATCAAAATTGTAGCACAAAGTACAGACTAAGATCTATAAAAATTCGGGATGACCGAACATCAGAATATCGGGATATTCCACGCGGATCTGCACATCTGGTAACGCTAGTTCTAGCGAGTGCGGTAAATACAAAGGCGGTCTTTGTTAACTGTTTGACGCCGACCATCCACGTGGACTGATAGATTTGAATAGAAGGTCATCAAAACACGTGTAATTAGTTCGAAGAATCATAACTGTAAACTGCTAGTTATGCTTATGGATCCATGAAATAACTTTTTTTACTTTTTTCAGAATTCTTTGTACACTGAATAAGTATTAACGCAATGAATTGAATAGGTACCGAAAATTAAGTTTATGATGTTATTATGGACTAAAATTTTAATTGACATTTAATAAGGTATTCGTCTAATATCAAGTTAATGGTATTTGTTTGGTTCCGCATAATAAAGAAAAAGTTCATGATTTCTTTGCAGATTTTTTTCATTTTTGTTAATGCGCGCGATTTATAACTACATGTGCCGCCACCAACCCAACAGGCTCGGAGCCCGAGGGTCGGTGTGAAATTGCATCGCGTTAAGAACGCTAATTTATTTAATACTTTCCGCAAAAACTTTTAATGGTTAAATTAAAAATATTGGCGCGAAACTCCATGCTTTCATTTAAAACAAAAAAAAAATTACAAATCATTTAAAAATATAGTCCAAAATCATTATTTTTTTTTATATTTTATATCTAAATGCTTATTTGTATTGGACATAGTAAAGTCAATTTGTATAAATTTCGTATTTTTTATTTGACCAAAATTATTAAATATGAAACAGTGCCATCTTGTAGATTGACTTATAACTATTTATGGTTATCAGTTATTTGATTAACAATGATATTAGTACGTGTTGTGCCTATTTGTATTAGACAAATTAAGAGTGAACATATTTTTATTCAATAATGTTTATTTCATTTGACCGTACATGTATGTGAACAAATGATAAAATTTTTATTTTTGTTATCCGTGACATCAAAATAATTATTTAAATTTAACAATTCAAAAAACAGCGCCAACTGGACAACCAACTTGATAAAAATTTAAATTATAAAATGATCTGTCGTCAAAATTTACTAATGTATTGGGATTTTCTTTCTATAAAATATTTTGAGTTTTAAAATGCTCGATTCATTAATCTTCGAAATATCATACGATTCGAAATACAGTAATCACTACTTAGTATAAAACAAGGTCGTCCCGCTGTTCGTCTGTCCCTATGTATGCTTAGAGCTTTAAAACTACACAACGGATCTCAATGCGATTTTTTTTAAAACATAGAGTGATTCAAGAGGAAGGTTTATAATTATGAATAATACATTGCAACCGTGCGAAACTGGGACGGGTCGTAAAGTATAATAGTAAAAGTATAATAGTA